AGCAGTATCAAGAGGAGGGCTACACTTTTTCAGTGCTGGTATTTGTTGTTGTTTTTGGTACTAAAGGTTTGAACTCAGGTCTTTGTGCTTGCAGGGATGGCTTGATATTGTTGAGATCTCTTCCTCCTCCTGCCTTATTCTTCTTCTTATTATTATTATCAGTCATAGGGCTTGAACTCTGGGCCTCGGTGCTGTCCCTGCGCTCTTCAGCTTAAGGCTAGTGCTCTACCACTTAAGCCACAGCGCCACTTCCAGTTTTCTGGTATTTTATTGGAGATAAGAGTCTCATGGGTTTTCCTCCCAGGCTGGCTTTGAACCATGATCTTCAGACCTCAGCCTCCTGAGTAGTTAGGGTTACAGGCGTGAGCCACCAGTGCCCAGTGTCCCTTAGCTTTTTTTGTTCAGGGCTGTCTGCCACTTGAGCCACACCTCCACTTCTGGCTTAATTAGAGATGAGTCTCGAGGACTTTCCTGTCAAGTTTGGCTTTGAACCCCAATCCTCAGATCTCAGCCTCTTGAGTAGTTAGGATGACAGGTTTGAGCCACCAATGCATGGCTCTTGTTTTTAAATGTGCATATAACTGGTCTGAATGACCCTGAGCCTGTTTACCCTTTCTATATAGCTAGTAGGACAGGCATAAACCTCCCCACCCACATTTTTATTGGCTGAGATGGAGTTTAACAACTCCTTACCCTCTGCAGGCCTCTTACTGTGATCTCAGCCTCCGGAGTAGCTAGGATTATAGATACAAGACACTGCGTCCAGCTAGGTTTAATTAAGGACTTTTAAGGAATCATGTAATCCATGATACCTTGCCACTCTGAGTTTGATGACAAATCTTGTGGGGCAGAGGGCTGAGGCATGCACAAACGTGACAGGTTTCTCAGGGCTCTGGCCTTATGGACTGAACTGATTGCAAGCCACACTGAGAGGCATGCTGGGAGGTGCAGGGAGCTTTGGTCAGAAAGGAGGACTCATGACTGCACCTAGTACTCAAAACAGCTTGTCTTTGGCAGTCAAGAATAATAACCTTGTAGTCCTGAGAAATGGGTGTTGTGAACTGTTTCTGTCTATGGAAGGCTGTGATAGTCCTAGATGGATGGATGCTGTCAAACTTGGACATGAAGGTAAAGGGCAGGAGGAGTGCAGGACATGTTTGCAAGCCCCTGGCTGACCGGTGCCTCCCCTTCCTTCCTTCAGGGGTCGGCCAGGACCAGCTGTGTAAGGAAGACTGCTCCTGCTCCTCGTGTTCTCTCCGGGCCCCCACCATAAGCGACTTGCTCGATGACCAGGACTTGCTGGACGTGATCAGGATAAAGCTGGACCCGTGTCACCCCACCGTGAAGAACTGGAGGAACTTCGCCAGCAAGTGGGGCATGTCCTATGATGAGCTCTGCTTCCTGGAGCAGAGGCCGCAGAGCCCCACCCTCCAGTTCTTGTTCCGCCACAGCCAGAGGACTGTGGCCCAGCTGATGGAGCTGTGCCGGCTCTACCACCGGGCCGATGTGGAGAAGGTGCTGCGCAGGTGGGTGGATGAGGAGTGGCCCAAGCGGGGGCGTGCAAACCGCCCTTCGCACTTCTAGACTGCCCGGCTGCTGCCGGCGGCCAGCAGGCGTGTGAACTATTCCTAGGAGCTCGTGGTGTGTCTCCCAGGGCTGTTGGGTGTGGAGGGGCAGCAACTGTGGGGTGGAAGATGTTTGTTTTTGCACATCTGTTTTAAGATCTGGAAATGGAAAAGGATATTTTCTAGGCTTCACCTAGGAGCCAAAGCCTACACTGGAATGGATTCATGCTGTGATAAAAATAAAATGAACCTCTCCTTCCAGACTGCTGAAGATTTCCATGAGGCCTGAGCCTTGCATGATTCTGGGTGGGCGGATGCCATGCTCTGGAGGAGTGGCGGCCTCTGTTTACAGCAACGCCATGCGGAGAGCTGGCCCACTCCATCCCTTCCTCATGGCTTCTCTTATAAAGTCTTGTCTTTGTGTATGTACTGGGTGAGATTTGAATTTGAGGCTCTTGTTGGCTAGTCAGGTGCTCTTCTGCTTGAGCCATACCTCTAGCCCTTTTTTTCTGTGTTAGTCCTGGTGCTTGAACTCAGGGCCTTGGTGCTGTCCCTGAGCTTTTTTGCTCAAGGCTAGCACTCTACCACTTGAACCACAGTGCCACTTCTGGCTGTGTGTGTGTCTCTAATTGGAGATGAGTCTCATGGCCTTTCTTGTTCTTCCTTGTTTGGCTTTCAACTGTGATCCTCAGATCTCAGCCTCCTGGATAGCTAGCATGAGCCACTGGTACCCAGCCAGAACCTTTGTCTTTAAATTCAGGGAATTCACCCCTCCTCTCTCAAGCTGATATCATTATTTGTAGAGTCCTGATGGTTATTCATTTCTAGCCCTGGATTTATTATCATTGAGGATGTGGCCATGGAAGCCATATATATGTTTTGGTTTGGGTTGGGAGTTTTTGGGTTTTTTTTGGTAGTACTGGGGTCTGAATTCAAGGCCTCATGCTTGCTAGGCAGACACTCCACTGCTGAGCCATACTTCCAGACTTTTTTTTCTGGTGGGGGGGGGGTGGAGAAGAGGCCTTTGGTTGTTTGTGAAAGGATGTTGTCTTTTTACATGGGCTTGTGCCCTGACCTTGGTCCCATTTTCAAGTTCTCCACCCTGACAGGTGAGTGCCACCATACCCAGCTTATTTGTTGAGAATGGAATGTCAACAGACTTGCAGCACATCCAGACTCTGACTGGTAAAATGTAGGTTGGCTTCGATGTGTATCACATTCTGAAAGACCAAGCAGTGATTCTCCACTGAAGTACATCTAAATCACGTGATAGTCTCAAACAGTTGTTTAACTCTATTAACGTATACCTGCAGTAGCAAGAGCACACTGATACCTTGCCCAGACAAGAGTGGAAAGAAAGTTACTTTATGACTAATAGCTTGAATAACTATTGAAAGTTAAGTCCTTTATTAGTGCTGGAGATCACATTAAGTTGACCACACAGTAAACTTTAGCACCTTGAGGTGAGCTGGTTTTGCTGTTAGGGTTGATGAAATCTCTTTAGCTAAGGTCCAGGAAGTATTCTCTTTAAACCAACTCCTATCCATAATTCCATGACCAGCTTCTGCATAATACACATATTGTTTGACTGCAATAGCCAAGATCCACAAAGATAGGAAGGGGAAACAAAGCCAAAATGAGCCTTACACACACTGCAGACACACACACAAACACACCTCAGGGGGACCCAGATGGGAGGAGAAAGACAAAAGGGGTGTGTTTTTTAAAATATGGCCTTGAATAGTTAGAACTCCCATTGTGCTAGAATTTCAGATAAAACTGTAGAAAGAGCCAGGTGCTGGTAGTTCACATCGTAATCTTAACTACTTGGGAGGGTGAGATCTGAGGGTCAAGGTTCTAAGCTAGCAGGTAAGTCTGTGAGACTCTTCTCTCTAGTTAACCAGCAAAAAGCTGGAAGTGGGGTTGTGGCTCAAATGATAAAGCACCAGCCCTTGAGGGAAAAAGCTAAGGGACAGCACCAAGGCCCCTGAGTTCAGGCCCCAGTACTGGTAAAAAAACAAAAACAAAAAAACCACCCCCTCCCCGCAGTCCAATTTAGATGTACTCTTGGTAACTAGCAGCCAAATTCTGTTTAGGTTCCTGATTATTTTAACTTCCATTCATGAAAACAAAAAGTCCTTTTCCACAGCACTCTACAAGAAAGGTCTTGTTTTACCTGTTTCTGGCAAAGACAGCTTCACTCAAGCGAGAAACTATAGAGATTGTTCTACTTAATACTTAAATCTTTTTTTTTGGGGGGGGGGGCAGTTGTGGGGCCTGAACTCTGGGTCTGGGCGCTGTCCCTCAGCTCAAGGCTAGCACTCTACCACTTGAGCCATAGCACCACTTCCGGTTTTTTCTGCTTATGTGGTGTTGAGGAATCAAACCCAGGGCCTCATGCATGCAAGGCAAGCACTCTACCACTGAGCCACCTTCCCAGCCCCAATACTTCTTTGCTGAGGAAGATTTCGGGTGTGTGTGTGGGGAGAGATCCACTGGGAAATTTCCAGAAGCTTCATTCCTACAACTGTGGGTGCCATAGAGCAAGCACCACGCCAGCCTGCAAGGACCTGGTCCAGTGCAGCCCTGTTCTCTGCTCAGGATCCAGAAGACAACATGGCCCCTCCTGGTGCACCCCATGCCACTGGGCCTCCAGTGCCTCGTCTCCCCAGAAGTGCTGTATACACCAAGTGGCTCTGGCCTACCTGGCCTGTTTTAATTCCATCACAGCTAGTAAAGAGGCAGTTTTGAACATGTATGCTAATGTGTCTGCTGAGCTCAGAAGACAGACAATATGTATATGGATACTCCATACTATGATTTTTAAATGCTGACCCCACCAAGGGAACCCTCAAAGCTGAACCTCCAAGAGTCTCCAGGAAGCGTCTATAAGCAGACATACTTCATTGGACTGGATCAAAGTGCAGGCTCTGTTCTGAGCAGTTTGATGGGAAGCAGGAGTGGACTGGAGGGGGCTGGGCACCACCACTGGGATGACGGCTGGCTGGTGAGTGAACTCTTAAGACTCACTCAGGACATTTTTGAAGGACGGGCACGGGGGTGGAGATCCACTGCTGCAAGACATCTAGAGGGTAAGGCCTCCTGGTACTTGGGGAGTGGGTGTCCAGAGCTGTCCTCACCGCCCCTCTGGAGCTCCGGGGTTGCTGGGGACTGAAAGCTTCTGTTGTATGAAGTATGAAAGTTTCCATTGTATTATGTGCAAGCCTTTGATAGAACACATGAAATGCTACATTGAGGCAGAATCCACCTAACCTGACCTTTGGCTGCCACAGGTCCTCAGCGTGAGTGACCTTGCGAGCTTAGGGTGGTGGCTTGGAGAACCCCTGGCTATTGGTCCACCAGATTCCTCCTGAGTGAAAAGTCCAAACCACAGGCTATTTGCAAGCTGTTCCCAAGTGTTTAAACACAGAACAGCATCTCCGCCTGTGAGATGAATTAATGTACAACCTTAAGAGCTTTCCCATCACTAAGGTTTTTTTTTTTTTTTTTTAATTTTTTTTTTTTTTAATGACAAACCACAGTTCTAGAAGGTGTTTCTTACACCTGAAGAAACCGGACTTGGGATCCGAGCCTACAGAAGCTGAGGTGAGCCCCGTGGATTTGAGCACAGTGGGGCTGGAGGGGGGAAAAGAGGTGAGTGCTCCCTAAATGTAAGAGAGATTAGGAGAAAGCCAGAAGATTCAGAGGTGAGCCCGTTCAGACTGGGAGGATAAGCAGAAGGACTGAGTGATGACTGTGAGGTACACAGGCCTCTCTGTAGGATGGTTTGGTGAGGAATTTCTGAAGACTCAGCCTCATTTAAGACTTGTGTAATTTGACTGCTTTTCTCATGGGAATAAATGAATAAACAGGAAGTGAGAAGATGTTCTCAGAGCTCCCATGCTTGAAACTATTGTGGCAAAATTTTGCTTCAATTTTGTCATTATTGTAGGCTCTATAGCTCTGGCTTCACAGCACAATATGTCACTGTTTAAAGCTCTGTGTTTTATTGCATCTAATTTGCGTTCCAAAATTATTAATTTAGGTGCTGGGGTACTTAGCGAATGTTCAAAAGGCCAAAACATTCAAGGTGCTGGTGGCTCACACCTGTTATCCTAGCTACTCAGGATGCTGAGATCTGAGCATCGAAGTTCAAAGACAGCCAGGGCAAGGAAGTTCGTGAGACTCTTATCTCCAGTGAACTACTCAAAAAAGCCAGAAATGGTGCTGTGGCTGAAGTGGTCGAGCACTAGCCTTGAGCACAAAAAGACCCAGGCAAAACTGTAAAGATATTCAATTGTCTTCATGTTATCAATAACCTAATATTCAATATGGTATTAGGTATCTATTTTTCACAAAGCAGTACATTAGGCACTTGGGAATGTGCAAAACAAGCTCCTTTTTTTTAAACTTACACTAACATGGTGTAGGTCAAACACAGCACACAGAAAGACAACTACACATTTAAAGCAGTGCATGTCAAAGGCTTAAATTAAACTATTCAATCTTGAAGATTGAATCTTGAAGAGTGCATCAAATGTAAGATAATGGCTTAAGAGCCCCTGCAAGAGGCCAGGGCCCTGGGCTTGACTGTCCTGTGGGGCGCTAGGTCATTCCTCAGCCCCTGTGCACTACCAAATGTTCATCAGGATTTGCAAATTTGGAAGAATTCACAGTACAGACTTTGTTTCTCTACTAGAGGAAAAAGGGCCCCTTCTGTTGTTCCTGTCTTCCTTCTGCTTTCCCTTTTATTTCTTCTGGGGAGACTAATAAATTATGTCATGGTGGGGGAGGGGGAAGAAAAATGGTAAAGAGAAAAACCACCATAGAGCACTGCTGTAAGAGCTTGAAATGAATTCCTCAAAAAACTAGGGGAACGGACACTAAAACACGTGTGGGAGAAGAGACGCCTTTTAGGTGCCTCCTCATTTGTGCTGGCTTTGGGGCTTGAGCTAAATGCTGTCCAGCCTCACATGGCCTTTGGTGCTCAAGGTTGGCACTGCACCATGTGGGCCAGGCCGCCACATCTGGCTTTTGGGTAGTTAACTGGAAATGAACACCACGGACTTGTTCTGCTCAGGCTGGTCTGGAACTCGGATCCTCAGATGTCGCCCCCCCCCCCCCGCAGTGGCTGGGGGGGGGGCGGGGCGGGGACCGAGGCGCCCGGAGCCCCGATCCTCGGATCCCAGCCTCGGACCGGCTCACCTTTCAGCCCCTGACGTCACTGCAGGCAGCCGCCGGGCCGCGGTTCCGTTCCCGGAGCTGCCGGCTCAAGCGACCGAGCGACCTCGGTCACTGCGCGGCTGGCGGGGCGGCTAGCTCCGGGACCCGTCCCGACGCGCGGCTCCGCCCTCGGCCCGGCCCGCAGCCCCGCCGACGCCGACCCCCGAGGACGCCGCGCCGCCCCGCGCTCTCCGACCACAGCCCCCACCCCCCTCCCGCCCCGCGCCGCGTCTGCGCACGCGCAGGGAAGTGGGCGTGGCCTGACCTCGGCGGAGCTCGGACGGCAGCCGCGGCGTACCAGCCGGGCTGCGGGAGCGCCGGCGGCTCGGCCGGGGTGAGTGGAGACGCCGGGGGCGGGGGGTCGCCCCGGCTGGGGAGTGGTGGGGACCGGGCCGTCTGTGAGCCTGTGACCGATGGGACCGCGTCCCGGGTCCTCGGCGCGACGTCGCCCGAGGGGAGGCGCCCGGGGCCCGGAGGCGCCCGGGGCCCAGAGTCGCCCGGAGCGGGTCGCCGGCCGGGGGCGCGGCCACTGTGGCCTGCGCCACCGCTGCCGTCAGCCCGGCCGACGAGGGGGCGAAGGAAGGGTTCTCCCGGCGTTCCGGGGACCGGCCCGCTTCGGTGACCGGTCTGTGTCGGCCCCGTGACGGGGCGACAGGCCCGACACCGGCGACGGGTCCGTGGCTATCCCCGGTGACGGGGCCCGACGTCGGTGACGGGGCCCGACACCGGCGACAGGCCCGACACCGGTGACGGGGCCCAACGTCGGCGACAAGCCCGATACCGGCGACGGGTCCGTGGTGATTCCCGGTGACGGGGCCCGACGTCGGTGACCGGGTCCGACACCGGCGACAGGCCCGACACCGGCGACAGGCCCGACACCGGTGACAGGCCCGACACCGGTGACAGGCCCGACACCGGTGACAGGCCCGACACAGGTGACGGGGGCCCGACACCGGTGACAGGCCCGACGTCGGGGACAGGCCCGACACCGGTGACAGGCCCGACGTCGGGGACAGGCCCGACACCGGTGACGGGGCCCGACGCCGGTGACGGGCCCGTGCTTATCCTCGCTGACGGGGCTGGCTCCTTGTGGAACCCCGCGGAGCCCCAGTGTTGAACGTGGGAACCCGGCCCCCAAACCCTCGTGGCGGAACTACCCGCGGCGACAGCCCGGCCCAGTCCCGAAGCCTCCCGCTTTACCCCGGCTTCCGGCGAGATCACGTGGTCCTGCGCTGCCTAGGCAACCGCGGGGCGGGGCTCCAAGGTCAATCCCTCCCCCCCATCTTGTGCTAGTGACGTCACACGCCCAAGCCCCACCCCCTTGCAGCCTTAAAGGGACCGTCCCCGGCTCAGGACCAAAAGCTTGGACGAGGAGATCCCACCGCGCCTTTCTTTTTCCTCTGGTGCCGGTGTCCTGGATTTCAAGGAACAGAGCGAAGAGGTTCTGAGGTTTTGGCTCACACGTGTGTGAGTTCATAACACCGGTGGATGCATTTTTTTCCCCTCAGTAAAGATGAAGCAGTAGTTGCTGGACAGTGTGCCAGAATCGCAGGAAGTAAAACTAGGAAGTTCCAATTTCATTTCTCTTTTACTTCTGCCTAGAGGTTACCAAGTATTCCCTAGAATTATTAAATGTGATTACTTATGAGAACTTTTATCTTTAAAAACGTGGCTAAGTCGGGCGCCGGTGGCTCACGCCTGTAATCCTAGCTACTTAGGAGGCTGAGATCTGAGGATCACGGTTCAAAGCCAGCCTGGGCAAGAAAGTCCATGAAACTCTTAATCTCCAATAAACCAGCAGAAAACCGGAAGTGGTGCTGTAGCTCAAGTGGTAGAGCGCTAGCCTTGAGCTGAAGAGCTGAGGGACAGCGCCCAGGCCCAGAGTTCAAGCCCCATGACCAACAAAAAAAAAAATTAAAAACAAAAACAAAACGTGGCTGCCAGGCGCTGGTGTCTGATGCTTGTCACCCTAGCTACTTGGTGGCTGAGATGGAGGATTGCAGTTCAAGGCCAGCTCAGGCAGGAAATTCCACGAGGTTATCATCTCCAATTAGCCACCCAAAAACCTGAAGTGGAGCTGTGGCTCAAGTTGCAGAACACGTGCCTAGAGTGAAAAAGCACAGGAACAGCGTCCAGGTCTTGAGTTCAAGCCTAGAGACCACCATGTGCGCCCACACGTGTGTGCGCACACACACACACTTTAGCAACACATAAATCTGTATCTTAAAAGTATTCAGAGGATTGGGTTCCTCCCTCCTCTGATTTATTTGCTTTGGAGAAGGAAGAGTAATTTCTTCTCTAAATAGTACAGTGGTTATTGTTAAATGCTTTAGCTCATTGAGCCCTCAGAACAAGCAGGTTTGTGAGTACTCTTATTCTTGTTTAACAAACAGGAAAACCTAAATAAATAAAAACACAGGTTGTTGGTGTTTTGATTTTTCTTCTTGTTGTTTTGTTGTATGGAAGTTTGAACCCATGACATTGAGCCTGCTAGGCAAGTACTCTGTCACTCAAGCCCCAATGAATACCAATGATAGTTTTATAGGACTTTTCAATCAGCATTTATTGTTAGTTTAAAATTTTTCTTTGCTTGCTTTTCAGTGCTAGGGATTGGACCCTGATTGGCCCTTATGCAAGTGATCCAACACAGAGCTCACTCCTTTTACTTTTTTATTTTTGGGGGGGGGTCTGGTTGTGGGGCCTGAACTCTGGGCCTGGGCGCTGTCCCTCAGCTCTTCAGCTCAAGGCTAGCGCTCTACCACTTGAGCCACAGCACCACTTCCAGCTTTTTTTCTTTTTGCTTATGTGATGCTGGGGAATCGAACTCAGGGCCTCATGCATGCAAGGCAAGCACTCTACCACTGAGCCACCTTCCCAGCCCCTCCTTTTACTTTTTTTTTTTAATTAATTTTTTTTATTGTGAGAATACTGTACAGAGGGGTTACAATTACATGAGCAAGATATTGAGTACATTTCTTATCAAGCATTGTTGCCTCCTCCTTTGTTTCCCCTTAACATCCCTGTCCTCCCATCCTCCCTCCCCTTTTATTTTGAAATCAGTGTCTTGCTGGGTGCATGTGGCTCACGCCTGTAATCCTAGCTACTTAGGAGGCTGAAATCAGAGGATCACAGTTCAAAGCCACCCTGGGTAGGAAAGTCTGTGAGACTCTTATCTCCAGTTAACTCCTGGAAAACCAGAAGTAGTACTGTGGCTCAAGTGTGTAGAATGCTGTCCTTGAGCTGAAGAGCTGAGGGACAGCACCCAGGCCCAGAGTTCAAGCCCCATGACCAACCAAAAAAAAAAAAAAATACACTGAGTTCCAGCTCCAGAACTGGTGGGGTGGGGGGTGGGGGGAAGATATGTAGCTAGATGCTGGTAGCTCACACCTGTAATCCTAGCTATTCAGGAAACAGATCTGAGTATCATGGTTTGAAGCCAGCCTGGGTAGGAAAGTCCGTGAGACACTTATCTCCAATTAATCACAGAAAAAAGCTAGAAGTGGAGCTGTGGCTCAAGTGGCAGAGCACCAGCTGTGGACAGAGGAAAAAACTAAGCAAGAGTGCTCTGAGTTCAAGCTACACATGTAAATATGTTATAAAGAAAATTAATGCATGCTTGTTTTCTTTTCTTTTGTTTTCTTTTCTATGACTTTTACATAGGACAAGTATCTCGGTGTCACTCTGGGTCCCCTTTAAGTGAGACAAGGTTAAAATTTTATACACAGAAGAGAGACTCCAGTCAACAAAATCAACATTAGTTGGAAAGGAATGATGTTGTCCTTAAAGAACTTACAAAATACCATCTACAACCCGGTGAGCAAGTTTTGTGAATTCCCTTTTTTCATATGGCAGAACTAAGAAAATCCAGTGGAATGGAAATTGTGCATTGGGAGCAGGGCAAGAAAAGAATGAATTTAGTGAACACAAGTAACGTCCCTGCTGTGGGATAGGGACAGTGGGTGGTGCTCTCTGAACAAAAGGTCCAGCTCTCATTCTCTAGCAGAAGAATAGGTCACAGTGACAACCAGGTGATGGAACAGTGTCATAGAACATGGGAGAACCAGAAGGAATGGAAATCCCTGTGTGTGGGCTCAGACCATAAAATACAAGAAAAAGGAATATGGCTTTCTTACTTTATGAACTTTTCCTCTCCTCTTCTTTCCTTTTCCTTTTCTTTTTTCCCCTTCTCTATTCTTTCTCTATAGTTAAACATTCACAATATCGAGTGCCATATTGCACTGAAGTTAGGCTCTCATTTGTAGTTCTACTTTTTAAAAAGACATTGCAAATAAATCTAGTAAACTCCAGTGTCTTAATCAGCTAGTGTATTTTACAAGCTAGACTCAATAACTGTTTTAGAGGTTGGAGGCATGGCTTAGCTGGTAGAGTACTAGCCAATGAGTGAAAGCCTCAGTACCAAGTTTGAGTCTCAGTCTTGTACCTAAAAAAGACCAAACAAAGTTTTACTGCATTATGGTTATTTTATTATTTAAAACAATGAGGAAGGATGAGACATAAGACTGTCACTTTAATGTTTATTTCATTAATGTTTTAAAATGTTTAGTCTACCTAACTGTCCATGTTACTTCTCTTAGAAAGGAGAAGTAAATATTATAATTCATTTGTGTCTTTTTTTATTTTGTATATTTTTTGACTAGTTCCATTGATAGAAATCTAAGACCTAAAAATGTCAGGCTCACTTTTCTTTCTATTCAAGTTGATGGAATTTGAATCACTGGTGACTCATGGCTGTACTCCTAGCTACTCAGAAAGGTATCTGAGGACTGGGAAGGTGGCTCAGTGGTAGAGCGCTTGCCTTGCATGCCTGAGGCCCTGGGTTTGATTCCTCAGCACCAATAAGCAAAAAGGAAAAAGCCGGAAGTGGCGCTGTAGCTCAAGTGGTAAAGCGCTAGCCTTGAGCTGAAGAGCTGAGGGACAGCCCCCAGGCCGAGTTCAGGCCCCACGACTGGACACCTCCCCCCCACCCCCCAAAAAAAGGAAAGCTATCTGAGGATTGCAGTTCTAAGCCAGCCATGAGACTCTGATCTCCATCAAAAAGCTAGAAGTAGAGCTGTGGCTCAAGTGTTAGCCATGAGTAAAAAGCTACAGGACAGTACCCAGGCCCAGAGATCAATCCCTAGTTCTGGAAAAAAATTGAGCAAATAATTTGGAAGATAGTATCTTCATACCAGAAATGCTGTCTATACTATGCATTTTGTGATTGTTCTTCATAGTTCCTTTTTGTTGTTTGTAGGGCTTGACTTCAGGGCCTGGGCACTGTCCCTCAGCTCTGTTCCACTAAAGGCTAGCACTATACCACCTTGAGTCACTGGTCCATTTCCGTTTTATGTGTGGCCTTTGAATCATAAACAATCTTTGCCAGGTACCTGTGGCTCACACCTTTAATCCTAGCTCCGCAGGAGGTTAGATCTGCAGAAATCTGAAAACAGGAGAGTTCATAAGACTTATTTCCAACTAGCCAACAAAAAGCCTGAAGTGGAGATGTGGTTCAAGTAATAAAGCACTAGCCTTGATTAAAAAGGCTAAGGGACAGCACCAGGCTCTGAGTTCATGCCAGTACCAACACATATGCACACACACATTAGCTTAGTCTTCATCAGTCACTGAGTTCCATTGTAATTGCTTCAGAATTAATTTTGTTTATGTCAACAAACATTTGTCAAACCTTTTTACTTTCTAGACAATCCCCTATGTTGGCACCATTTCTGAGCAGTTGAAGCCTGGGTCTTTGATTGTGATCCGTGGGCATGTTCCTAGTGATGCTGACAGGTAAAATCATTGTGCGGGAAACACACAAATGGTCTAGGTGATTGCAGAGTAAGAACAGCCGCTGCGGTGGAGAGGCTGTCTTGCTTCACTGAGGCCTGGCGTTGTATACAAGCAGCCCTGCCAGGATGTGAGGAGATGGGGCCGAGCCACCGAAGACCCGTTACTGGGGTTACTGGGGTGTTTCACCTCATGGCTGATATAAGAATTAAGCTCATTGATTAAAAAAGGCTTGTTAAGCTGGGCACTTTCGGCTCATGCTTATAATTCTAGCTACTCAGGAGGCTGAGATCTGAAGACTGTGGTTCAAAGCCAGCCTGGGTAGGAAAGTCTGAGACTTTTCTCCAATTAATCACCAAAAAGTCAGAAGTAGAGCTGTGGCTCACGTGGTAGAATGTTAGCCTGGAGCACAGAAGTTCAGGGTCAGGCTCTCTCCTGCTTCCTGCCATGCCCCATGGCTCCCGCTCCTCAGATTCCAGGTGGACCTGCAGATTGGCAGCAGTGTGAAGCCCCGAGCTGATGTGGCCTTTCACCTCAACCCTCGCTTCAAAAGATCGGGCTGCATCGTGTGCAACACTCTGACCCAGGAGAAGTGGGGGTGGGAGGAGATCATCTACGACACCCCCTTCCAGAGGGAGAAGTCCTTCGAAATTGTCATCATGGTGCTGAAGGACAAGTTCCAGGTGGGTTGTGCCTGGGCCCACAGGGGACCCTGTTGGTCAGGTGAGCCACCAATACAAGGCCTTACACTCACCCTGCTTGTATCGTACCTGAGCTTGGCCCTGGGATCGCCATGAAGGCAGAAGGCAGATGTTAAGTGAATCTGCACCTCTGCCCAGGCTCTTCGTGGCCCCTCTGCCTAGGCGTCTTATTTTCCAGCAGGCCTGGGCTCAGCTGCCCCAGCATCCTGTTAATCATGGGAATGGGGATGGTGGCAAAGGGGGAGGATGGTGGGAAGGAGAGACAGGCGGTCCGCAGTGCTTAGTTAAGTTTCCCACTAGATGGTGCTGTGCACTTCTGAGGGGATTACAGCCCCTGCCTTCCTGAGGTGGGACTGAGTGCCCTGAGTGACTCCAGTGGGGACTCACTGCTGGTGTGGGGCCTGGCATTGCACAGCATGCTGCTTCCTAGCTCTCCCTCGACCTCCTGTACTCCATTCCTGAGGGAAACTGTTTTGCAGTGCAGGTACTGGGGCTTGAACTCAGCCTCAAGCCCTCACTTGGCTTTTCTGCACCTGGCTGGCACTTTTATCACTTGAGCCATACCTCCGCTTCTGGCTTTTTGATGTTGGAGATAAGAATACATGGACTTTCTTGCTTGGCCTAACTTTGAACCACAGTCCTCAGATCTTAGCCTCCTGAGTAGTTAAGATTACAGGCACAAGCCACCAGTGCCTGCCCCCAAAGGAAACAAGTTTGGATAATAAGTTCATTTGTTAACTGTGTCCATCCAGGTGGCTGTGAATGGAAAACATACTCTGCTCTATGCCCACAGGATCAGCCCAGAGAGCATAGACACGCTGGGCATTTATGGCAAAGTGAACATTCACTCAATTGGTTTTAGCTTCAGCACGGTGAGTGTCCTTCCATGCATGCTTGCCTTGGTGTCTTTGAGATAACGTGGTGGAAGAAACTTCTTCATGTAGGGATGACTGGCTGTTGCTTGCTGCCTCTGACCAGGGCTTTGTGGCCTGTAGGCGCTCAGATGGCAGCTGGTTCTAACACAGGGAAGCCCTGCCAGGCTGAGGGTGCACTTCCTTTCCACAGGGGTCATAGAGGTTGCCCTTCAGGCTTCTTGGCCTCAGCTAACTTGTTCCTGTGAACAGTTTGCAACCTCAGCAGCTGTGCAGCTGCCCACGCTCGTGTTCACAGGAGAGCTTTCTCCACTGCTTGTTCACCAGGGGACCCCAGGGTCAGAGCATTTTACAATTGCAGTTCTGGATGTTCAGTACTACTGACCACTTGTATGTTAAACAATTTATTTTCAAAAGATGCTCTATGAGTGTGGAACATTAGTGTGTATTTTCTTTTCTGCAGGATTTACAAAATACTCAAGCATCGATTCTGGGACTATCAGAGATAAATACAGAAAATGTAAGTATTAACTCTCTTAATAGAAAGAATATAGTCAGTGAGTAACAGCTGTCATTTTAACTCTCATTTCCTGCATAGGAAATAGAATGTTTCTATTTCTCCCTCCTCTGGCCCTGTTATAAATCCTTGCTAAAACTTAAAATGTTCTTAGGTGTTACTGGTGGGTGTTTTTCTTTTCTTTTTAAAATTATGGTTTTACTAGGAATCCAAGATAGACACAATTGTTTAAGCACATGCTGGTGGCTCGCTATGTGGGAGGCTAAGAATGGGAGGACTGTGGTTTGAGGCTAGCTCAGGCAGAAAATTTTGCAGTATTCCACCACAACCCATACCCGGACATGGTGGTGCTTGTCTGTCCCCCTAGCTATGAGGGGAAGGATTACAGGTGTGAGCCACCTACACCTGGAAGATACCTTTCTTTTAAACGTGCTTTTTTCTTTCTCTTCTGATAGGTACAAAAGTCTGGCATTTCACAGTTTGTAAGTAGTTTTGTCGGTTGTTCCATGTGGTCTGTGTTGTCAGCTGTCAAGAGGGGGGGCAGATTAGCCGTAGATGGCAGCTCCATTCTTCCCACCCATGTGGACTGTTTCTCTGCAGCCTAGTAATAGAGGAGATATTTCCAAAATCGTCCCCACAACTGTCTACTCCAAGAGCAGAGACTCGACCGCGAACCACACTGTGACTTGCACCAAAATCCTTCCTACCAACTATTTGTCAAAGGTTTGAGGAGCCAGCCATGTTGTTAGCTAAAAATTCAGTGATTAGCAGTGTGAGGACCCTGGCCCCTGCCAGGGGCCAGAGAGCCAGCTCGGTTGCACAAGTGTGCGTGCATGTGTGCTGTCCCCGAGCAGAGTCCACAGTCCATGTGTCCTGCTGGAATGGGGCACTGGGGCACCAGCTCTCCCTGCAACCCCTAGCTACAGTGCTCCCAGCTGGGCCCAGAGGCCCTGCTGGCCTAGATGTTCCCTAGGGCAGTGGACAGTCTCTTGGGAGGTCCCTTCAGCAGTTGCCTGCCTGACTGTGGCGTCTTTACAGACCCTGCCTTTCAAAGGGAGGCTCAACTCCCCCATGGGCTTTGGACGGACCGTCGTCATTAAAGGAGAAGTGAATACAAATGCGAAAGGGTGAGTGTTACACAGCAGTGGCCCGGCTGTGGGGACGGGCCTTGCTGCAGGGTGGCCACCTCGCACCTCGTCATGGGCTCGGGGGTAGAGGTGGGGCTGATGTCGGGCTCTCGTGTGAAAGGGGCCTTGATGGCTCAGGAGGGTGGCCTGTGATGTTGCTAGTAGCGTTCCTGTGAGTACACACTCAGCTGACAGTCTCACCGCCAGGGCATGGCTGTACATGCCCCTCCTACAGTCGCAGTCTGAGCTCCGGTGTGATTCACTCTTCTCTTCTGTTTGACTATTTTTTTTTCCTTCTCTTGAAGCTTTAATGTTGATCTAGTGGCAGGAAAATCAAAGGATATCGCTCTCCACTTGAACCCACGCCTGAACGTGAAAGCATTTGTAAGGAATTCTTTTCTTCAGGGAGCCTGGGGTGAAGAGGAGAGGAATATCACCTGTTTCCCATTTAGTCCTGGGATGTACTTTGAGGTAAGGTTTTTTGAAAATGGGGCTGGGTGAGCGAGTACCCACTGCTTCAAGTCCAGTGCAGTGTGGGGCTGTGGAATGCTCCCGTTTCTGTGGAGATGAACTTGAATGCAGGGTGCCGCTCATTGGCACTGGAGGCTTTTGGCAGTAAGATGGTCTCAGGACTGGAGGGGATCAGGGGTGCAGGAAGCACTCCAGCCAGGGAGTTGGTCCTGCTTACAAAGGACAGTGCGTACGTTAGACCTAAGAACCAACTGTGCCCTAGATGTTGGGCACTGCCCCCATTTCTGGAGCTTGGGTGGAGCATGGTCTCCAGAGATGAGCTGGGTTGCTGGCTGTGTGACCCACTGTGTGCCCTCATTTCCCACCCAGTATTGCTGTCAAGAGAACACTCAGCCACCTGATTTGCAGATTGGGTTTGGTGTCTCCACCTGGCCCTGGTGGGTGGGTAGCAGCCAGGCTGGGCATCCTCCCTGCTTGTTCCTGCAGCTGGCACTGGAACAGAGCTGAGGGCGTGGTGGTGGGTGCCACTGGCGGTATGCTCTCAGCTGCTCAGGTTTGGGGCAACTGGCCTGAAGAGCTTTGAGGTGAGCAGGCTGAGCAGGGGTGCAGCCAGGATGGCCACCAGAGGACATGCCGTGGGAATCCTCAGATCAGTCAGGATCTCCGCGTGCTGCCTGGGTTAGCTGCCCTCCATCACTAGTTCCCACCTACTGGCAGGGATTGCAGCTCCCCATATTCCCAGGAAAAGCGAGGAGGTGGGTAGTACAGGTCTGGGGGACCCTGAGTGGCTGAGGCAGAAGACACTGCCAGACACAGGCACAAAGAACCCAGCATTTCCTTCTGATTCCCCTGGTAATCCCCAGGGAAAGCACAGCTGGCATTCCTCCCTTCCCCTTCCTTCCAGATGATCATTTACTGTGATGCCAAGGAGTTCAAGGTGGCGGTGAATGGGGTGCACAGCGTGGAGTATAGGCACAGGCTCCGGGACCTGGGCAGTGTTGACATGCTCGAGGTGGACGGCGACGTTCACCTGCTGGAGGTGCGGAGCTGGTAGCCGCCACCGCCAACCCAAATACATCAGCCTCTGTGACATGGGCCTGTCCACGTGCATCTCGAGTCACTACGTGTTTGTTGTTGAGCTCTCAGAGTGTCAAGGCCTTCTGGTGTTCCCCTGCTGTCCGCTGCCCTGTTCGGCCAGTGTGCTTTCCTCCAGTGCTCAGGAACAAACTGGCAGCCAAGGCTCTGCCACTGTTAATACCACACTCAATAAGCAGCTAAGCACCTGCTCTGCTGTCAGTGCTGAGGAACAGGGGCGTGGTCTGTGCTAGTGGCTGGGCCCCGGCAGGCAGAGCTGAGGTGATCCCTGTCCTTCCGGCTGGGACAGTGTGGTGGTGCTGTGGGCGCACTTGTCCACATGCGCACTCACTGCGTCATTCCAGGTCAGGAGAGGTTAAGTGCTGCTGGGTGAGACATTACCCCTACTGCACACCCTTCCTTCCCTATTTGCCTCATCAGATCCCGTGGCCAGGACACTGCACAGGCTCCCATTGGCAGTCTTTAGCAGTGTACTAACTCTTCTCGCTATAATAGCTTTACTGAACAATTAACATGGAAACATGAGAACATAGTAAAAGAAGGCAAAAAAATCCCACCCCAACAAGAACACCCAAAACCAACCATGTGGAGGTTATGGCAGCCAACTTGAGGTGTGTATGTGTGTGTGTCCCTGCCTGTGGTGAGCTTAGGGCACAGGCCAGATGAATGCAGTCAGTAGAAACTGTGGGTAACCCTATTGTAGTGCCATGAGACAGGTGGACTCCTAAGGCAGGCACCACTCTGAGAGCTAGGCAGTGGAGGCAGCATCTTGTTCTCCTGCAAACTGGCACTTGCTCTACTTAGTGACTGCTCAGTCATCATGGCATGAGATCAAAACCTTGCTGTGTTTACGTGATTACAATCAGGCCTGTATCGGCAAGTCAGACAGTTGCATTTCTGTAATTTGTCTATTTGAAGGGATCTGGCAAATGTCTCACATAGAATCTTTACAGGTCACATCTTGTTATAGATTTCAAAGGTTTGGACGTGGGGCAGAATAGTCTAAACCAGTAGTTCCAACTTCTGCTGGGGTTTAGGAATATTTTCGTAACAGATTTGGATATTATTTGCACCCATATATTAAAAAAATACCATAACCAATCCTATTTTTCAAAATGCCTTTGTTGAAAGTGCTATCCTTTAACTCTTCACATTAATTTATTATGCTGTCTTGCCAAACTCAAGATACGAGGGCGGTGGGAATGGGAAGTTAGTAGGAGCAAGGAGGCTGCTCCTGCAGCCCTGCCTTGAAAACATCAGAGGGTCTGACTGAGATGCTGGAGACCAAAGGCACTTAGGAAAACGCAAAAGCCCACTCACTGTTCCCTGCCAGTATGAGAGTTCCTTTTCATCTGTTGTACATGGAGCAAATCTAATTCTTTGATAGAATCCTAGCTATTCAGGAGGCTGAGATCTGAGGATCACAGTTGGAAGCCAGCCCTAGCAGGAATGAGACATGAGACTCTTCAACTAATCACCAAAAGTGCTAGAAGTAGAGTCATGGCAAAAAAATCAAACAAAAAATGCTCAGGGACAGTATCCACCAGTATCCTGAGTTAAAGCCCCAGGATCAGCACACACAAAAAAAAGGGCTGGGAATGTGGCTCAGTGGTAGAATGCTTGCCTCACATGGGTTCCATTCCTCAGTACCACATAAAAAAAGCCAGAAGTGGCGCTGTGGCTCAAGGCACTAGCCTTGAGCTGAAGAGCTAAGGGATAGCGCCCAGGCCCAGAGTTGAAGCCCCACACTGATTTAAAAAAAAGGATTCGAGTACTTATTAAGGAACTGTACTGAGACGTTCTTTGAGAAGAACGAGTGTTTCTGGGATGCTCTCTAAGGAAAGGCTTTCAGATTCCATGCTGACACCGAGGGGCAGTTCTTCAATGGTTCTTTAAGTTCAGCCTTCACTGTAACACAGTGCTCAAGATTAGAGAACATCAAAACCAGGGAAATGATGCAGATGCTTTCCCACGGGGAATGTGCTCATGGCGGCTGCAGAAGTTCCTACTCCCTCCGTGCTGGTCACAGGACCGGCCCGGGGTGGGTTCACAGGCAGCTTCTTGGCTCCTGGGCCCCCCTTCCCAGAGAAACAAGAGACCGGCCCTAGAACTGCCTGCCTCTGCAGCCACCCAAACTCCAGCGGCTCCAGCCAGTATGCCTTGCAGTGGGACGCTGAAAGGCTGTTTTGTTGGGTAGAGGGCAATGGAGTGAGGCCCACAGACCCAGACCCCTCACAGCACGGAGTGAGGGCGTCACCCTCCAGGACTCGTTGGCCTTGGGGGCCATCCTCTCAGCGCCATGCAGAAGAGACCACACAAAATGGCAGACTGTTTTATAAAAAGATAGCACGTCCTATTTACCAACTGTACAAAAGGCAGCCCAGCCCGGGCAGGTCATCTGTAGGGAAGTCATGAGGTATCTGCAGTGAGTGGTGCCAAAAGCAACATGGCACCAGCACCAGGATCGACCAGCTGAGTGCATGTGTGGGGTCAGAAGTAGCTCTGCAGCGGCTCCCCCAGCATGGTCTCCAGCTGCTGGATGCTCTTCTGGCACTGGTGTTCCACTTCTTCACACTCATCTGAGAAGGAAAAGCAAAGTGAACCCGCCAGTCACCCGCACCTGGGCACTCCAGTCTTCACTGCTGCACCTCTGCCCTCGGCCCATCAGAGTAGGGCCATCACACTCGCTCCTCCCTCCTGCCTGCCTCGTCCTGTGACCCCCAAGAACGGGGCTGACACGTACACATCCCACAGCCCTTCACCAGGGGTTGGGGCACAGTGAACAGAGATGAGTGTTCCTTTGCCACTTGCTGAGCGTGCACGAGTGTGCATTCCAGCATGGTGAAGCCCTGCGAGAGTAGTTTCCAGTACAGAGCAGCCGTGGCTGCTTCAACCAGTGACATAGGCCACAATCACTGGCTCTCTAGTGCCGCTACTGTTAAAGCCTCTAAAAACAGGGGCAGTGTCATTTGCCCACTTAGTGGGCCACATGAGGACCAAACACCAAGTACACGTGGGCGTCTACCACGGCATCCTCTGTGATGCACCACATTCCAGCACAACCTCTAGCTGGGGACAATGCTCACAGAAATTACACTACTGCAGCCTGTGTGTACACCCAAACCCAAGACTGTACTGCTGGCAAACATGCAATGACTACCAGAGAATCCTGCCAGTTCCCACCTGTCTGGGAATGAGGCAGGATGGTATCTGCTGCTAACCACGAAGATCCCAAACTGCGGCATTACTGGGGATGTATGTATGCGCACACACACACACTCATTCACTCTTTTCCCCTAGTTATTAATAGTTTGAGAATTACCTTCCATCAATTCTGCTAGGAAAGGAATGGATTCTGGTAGCAGGACAATGTAATTCTCCTTTAGCTTTTCAGCTAGTGCCACCACGGTAAGCAAGGCTGCAAACCTCACCTGTAGGAGTAAGACAATCAGAGGGTGCAGTTACTTAGGGCTCACAGTCGTGTTTTCTGCCTTAGGACCTGAACTGACTGCAGAAAAGCTCTTCTGATAGCCGTCATCTCATGCATTTATTTTCTCCTTAGTACTCCATCACAGAAGACCAGCTTATCTATTTGTGATCATCTGGAATATGCCTAACATTTAAAAAAAAAAGTTTCTCAAACTGCATTCCTACCCCTGAAGCTCTTTAATGTGTCTATCTTCATGGCATTTTCCTTTAAAAACAAAACAAAGTCGGATGCTGGTGGCTCATACCTGTAATCCTAGTTACTCAGGAGGCTGAGGACTATGGTTCGAAGCCAGCCAAGACATGAAAGTCCCCATGAGCGGGGTGCCGGTAGCTCATACCTGTGATCCTAGCTACTCAGGAGGCTGAGATCTGAGGATCACAGTTCAAAGCCAGCCCAGGCAGGAAACTCCGTGAGACTCTTATCTCCAATAAACCACTAGAAAACCAGACGTGGTGCTGTGGCTCAAGCGGCAGAGCGCTCACCTTGAGCCAAAGAGGACAGGGAAAGCACCCAGGCCAAGTTCAAACCCCATGACCAACAACAACAACAACAAAAAGTCCCCAGGAGACTCTTGTCAATTAACTACTCAAAAACTAGAAGTGGGGCTATGGCTCAAAGTGGCAGACCACTAGCCTTGAGCAAAAGAGCTCAGGGACAGCACCCAGGCCAAATTCAAGCCCCACAATCACCATTCCCTCCCACCACAAAAAAAATTGCCATGTGTCACCAGACTTAGCAGCACTGGATAGAGCTGACAGATGCTGAGTTGAGATTGCCGGGTTGGGGGAGGGGCGCATGGAAGGATGCCTGGGCCAGGACAGTCACTACCACCTCAGCACCAAGTGAAAAGTAAAAAGCACACTAGAGTTAAGATTTCCTGACATTGTGCAAGTAACATAATCAAAGATTAAATCTGCTGTTGCAATGTATGTATGAAACTATGATTTTAGATTTGCAAATTCATCGGAACAGCGTAATTGTTTCTGCTTGCTAACATATGTTACAAGTTGAATCCTGTAAATAAAGTGTTTTGGTCTGTTTTACAGTAGCCTAAACCATTAGAAATGGCTAAAACCTTTAGAAAGCGTGACCCTCTCATGTCATTGCAGTTACCAACCCCGTGCCCACTGCGTAGAGAACACGCTGTGTCCTGGCAGTGCGCATGGACAGACTAACCCACACCTCAGGGCCCAGTGGCAGACACAAGCAGCAAATGCTTTTGTCATTAGATTTAAGGGCTCTAGAAAGTATTTTAACACTTCTATCTCTCATGTCGCAGGGAGTTGGAGGAGACTGCTATTGTTTATAAATTAACCAGGAAGGAAAGAGAAGAAATGCTTTGGCTTGAGATTCTGTGAAACTCAGTGGACCAGACCTCTGACACAGATTCCAGAGGCGGTGCACATCCCTGCTAGTGACCGGGCCAGCCTTATGGCCCTTCGCTATGGGCTGGCCTTCAGAGCTTGCTGCCCACTGTCCTCTCCCCACCTTGGGCGAGGAGTCTCGTGTCTTCAGCAGAATCTGGTAGTTGAGGGGTTTCCACAGAGAGTCATCAGCCGTGGCCACGGAAAACTGTGCAATGCAGGGAATCAGGTGCTTTGTTACCCGCTCCTGGAACCGCTCCTCTCCGCCGAGCCTGTTTTCCAGCTGTGAAGAGAGAGACAAGGACTTAGAACAGGCTGAACATTTTCCTTCTGTTAGAAAACATATTCAGGCCAGGCACTGGTGGCCGATGCCTGTCATCTTAGCTACTCAGGAAACTGAGGTCTGAGGATTGTGGTTCAAAGCCAGCCCAGGCAGGAAAGCCCATGAGATGCATCTCTACCAGACAACCAGAAGTGGCACTGTGCTTAAAGTGGTAGAGCACTAGCCTTGAGGTGAAGAGCTCAGGGATGGTACCCAGGCCCAGAGTTCAAGTCCCACGGCTGACAAAGAAAACCATATTTGGTGTGTAAGTAGTATTTTACCTTTTTTTTTTTTGTCTGTCGTGGGGCTTGAACTCTGGGCCTGGGCGCTGTCCCTCAGCTCTTCAGCTCAAGGCGAGCGCTCTACCACTTGAGCTACAGCGCCACTTCTGGTTTTCTGGTGGTTTATTGGAGATAGGAGTCTCACGGTCTCTCCTGCCCGGGCTGGCTTTGAACCGCGATCCTCAGATCTCAGCCTCCTGAGTAGCTAGGATTACAGGCATGAGCCACCAGCGCCCGGCTGTATTTTACTATCTTTTATGGCAACAGGCTCAAAAATCGGGCCCTTGTAGGACTAGAACTCAGTGTCAGGCTTTTCTCCAGAAGGTTCTGGGGCAGCCACACTCTGAGACTTGTGTGGCAAGGCCGACAGTTAACATCTTAAATCGATGATTTGACTGTAAGACCTTCTGTCTTCCTTTTGAAAAATTCAAAAGTAAAACTAAATGAGCTCCACAGTGAAGCTATGTTATGTCCATGAAAAATCTATTTTAAGATGAAAATGTCATGAAAGAACCCTTCCTTCACCCTTAAGATTAAGCAAGCATCATCTTGAAGAAAAGCCTGTGGGGAGGGTGGAGGTGGCACATACCTGGTCTACCAGAGGTGTCATCAAGGCCTCGGCTCGCTCCTTGCTCAGGAAGTGTTGCGTGTCATAGAGGAAGATCTTATGTAAACAGTTCAGGATGAACTGCAGCAGCAGGCAGCACTTCTCAGGGTCATGTTCCGAGTCAAAAAACGCTTCATCTGTAGATGGGGAAGAGAGAGAGAACCACCCAAACCAGTCACCATCTGACACCAGTGCTAATGTGAAACCACACTGAGATTACCCCACTGAGATTCGGAAAACAATCCAGCAATCCTAAAATGAAAGCAGATCGCAAGATCATGGGGCCCGCTCCGGTCCTGAGGCTCAGCCTGGCACGGTGAGTTACCCCACTGCCCCTGCTCATCAGCACAGACCTACCTTCCTTTCAGTGTTTTGGTTTTTTTTTTTTTTCCTTCAGTGCTGGGGATGGAATCCAGGGCCTCGTGTGCTACACAAACATTATACCTCAGCCCTAACTTAAATGTTTTAAAGTCATTTCCAACAAGAAGTAATAGCTCCTACTTAGTTATTCTTTCTCCTCAGTCAGAGGATTCATGCTTATTTTCCATCAAGCTAAAACACAGTTCCATGTTTGATGATAAAGCAGCTCATCCTCCTCCATGGAGAATTTAGGATCCTTCAAAGTCCTGCCTGGGTGTTAGCTTGAGTCTCACTAGCTGCTGGGTTAGATGCAGAGCGAGGGCAGGGCTGACAGGGGCTACCGACCTGTTTTGGAGATGTTCACCTGGTTCAAGGTGTCTGCAAAAGGCTTCACCAAGTGCCCCGCAAACAGAGTGAACAGGCCTTTCAGTTTCTCGGCGATGCAGTCAGCCACGTTGAAGAATGTCAGCAGCCTGTCCCTCGGGGCATCTTCTGTTTTGGCCCAGTCGAACAGCTAGAACCAAAAACCAGGCGTCGTGTCTCCTCACATCACAAGTCACACATGCCTGAGCAGGCAGTGCCGAGGAAGAAAGCTCACCTTGAAGAAGAGGGGTCTGAACGTGGCCTCAGAGAGCTTCACTACCATGGCCACGAGGCAGGCGATGACATGGCCCTCCGCCTCCCCAACTTCCTCCAGGTCATTCTGCAAACACGGGAACAATGGTTAGCTCGAGTGTGAGTTCTACAGGGCCTGCAGCCAGGTCCGGCCCTGGCTTCCGCTCACCTCCGAGTGCTGCGCCCGGAAGTCCAGGGCCTCCAGGAAGAAGTTGGTCAGCTGAGACTGGTGGGACAAGAGCTCTTCCTTCTTCATCACCCCGATGTGCTCTTGCAGAATGCTCATGAACGGGCCCATGTGATTCTACCACAAATGGGAGACAAAGCTTCACTACGTGCCCCCCCACCTCCACCCCCCGGGCAGCCACAGGCTGGACCATCTCAGCGCCACTGCCCCGAGCGACCATGGTGAGCTTACCTTCCAGGTCCTCTTTATCTCCTTGTACGTTTTGTTAATGGCTGGCAGGAGGACGCGGGGTGCGAGCCTGGTGGCCAGGGTCTTTTTAAGAGATGTGAGACGGATGTTAGCATGGGAGGCAGAGCCCATTTCACATGTGACTTTCTCCAGATGGATCACCTAGGGGAACAAACAGCAGTGAGCAGGTGTCACAGATCCATGGTGACAGCCACACTCCTGGAGAGGCTTGGTGGCGATGCAGAGCCATACCCAGTGTGGTATGGTGAACACCGGAGGGCACATCTCAGCTAGGCACAGAATTTCTTCTAAAGCCATCTCTGAAGAGCTGTCGATAAAACCGGGCAAAGCTGGCATGGAGGCGCGTGTGTGTAATCACAGCTACTTGACACAGGGGCAGGAAAGTACTGAGTTTCAGGCCAGCCTGGGCAAGGTTAGCATTACCCCATCTCCAAATCAAAATATCAACAAAAGGGCTAAAATAGTAAAGCATCAGAAATGCCACCTGCCCATGGCACACTGAGCAACCTCCTATCAGCACTGCAGGAATTCTGCCACACAGGAACCCTAGGTGCAAGAATCTTTTACACACCCATCTCCACACTAACAGGTGGCTCTGCCTGCCCAGCTGCCTAGATCTTGCAGAGGGAGAAAAAGTAGTGAAAACTGCGCGCGGTCAAAGAAAAGAGCTGCACTGAGAAGCAAGCTAAAGCAGAAAGTATGGTGGAGGAGAGAGAGAAACATGTGTGGTTAAGAGCCGGCTTCCATCTGTCATGCAGAAGCCAGCGCTGGCAGTTCTTCATGACCTGCTGCCACCCAGGCAGCGTGGCGTGGTCGCCAAAGCTTACCTGGCATAGAACATCTTCCAGGTAGGGGCTGATGAAGTGCGGGAGGGTCTCCACCACTTTGTGCAGGGCAGCCAGCGCGCTGAGCAGACAGACCTCACTGTGGACCAGCTTGCTGGTGCTCTTCACGGCTGCCAGCAGCGACGGCATCAGGCTGGCGAGAAAGAACGAGCCTGTTAGAGGGACTGAAAGCCCAAGCCACGGTGCCTAGAGTGGCTCGAGTTCCCAGCATCCAGCGGCTACCTGGGAAGTTGCGGGATGGCCAGTGCCTCCAGGGTGGACGTGACCTCTGCGATGCACAGCAGGGCACTTCCTAGCACGTTCTTCTCCTCCTCCAGCTCTGGAGCGATCAGCGCCACCGCAGTGCTCAGCACTGGCACAAAAGGCTCCTGGTTTTCAGCACCAAAATTCTTGCATAAAAGCTTTAGGGTATACAGCGCTGTCTGCCTGTTGATTGCTTGCTCTTCTTCCGCTTCCTTCTTCTTGTGCTGCACAATGGCCAGAAGGACTGGAACTAGTTTGAGGAAGCGCTGAACCTGCAGAGGATTGTCAAAGTCTCTTAGTTACATGGCTGCACCACAGCCAGTCCATTTTCCCATGTCCCCAGTTTGAGACTACCAAGATGGGGGTCAGCCTGTGGGCCCTGAGCCACAAGGTTACAGGTGAGGGCTGCTTCCTCCCCATTTGTCCCTCATCAGCTGTGCTCCAGTGGGAACTGCCAACGCTGAGGCCACCATGTGGTCCAATCAAGCAAGGACTGCACTGGGCCAAAGTCCATTTTAAGAACTTCTACGACACACCTGTAATACATTCAGATCAGACCCACCGTGCTGGGACCCTGGAAACGCTTTGGGGAGTCGAATGCAGCTTGTTAAGAGGGAGGCACCAGGATCTGCAACAGTCTTGACTCACCGTTTTCCTCTGCCAGGATGCAGGATGCTGTAGTTTGTTATTTAGAAGATCCAGAGCCTTCCGGCGAACAGAGGGAAGAGGATTGCCCACAAGTCCCTTAAGCACAGTGATGAAAGTTTCTGTGGGCAGCAAGGCATTGGCCTGTATAGTTCCACATTCACATTAAAGGAGAAAAAGAGAAAGGTCAACTCTCACCAGGACTCATGACTTTTTTGTGAGTCTCATTATGTAGCCCAGTCAGGCCTCAGCCTCCTAAGTGCTGCCATTGCAGGTGTGCAGCATTGGACCCCTACCTGGACTACAGTTTATTGCCTATCTCTGGTGCCCGGAATGTTCTTAACACTTTTCCATGTAACTATTACAGTAACCCTTCAGCTAGTCTTCACTGAGGTAAAACACAACAGCACAACAAACTCTCTGATGCTGGGAATAAGTGATAGCTAAATAATCCAGTTAGACTTAAACAGTGATCCTAACGTCAAGGCCAAAGACCAATCTAGTTTATGTAATATTCTTACTTTATTCTGCTCCAAAGAAGTGGAGCACTGTACAATACATGACTAAAGACTAAGAATATCAGACTTATGAAGCAATGTGTCCCTGAAAACATTTTTTTTTCTGGACAAGTTTTATTTCCAATCTTTAAGAAAATTTGAGCCTTGCTTATTAAGATAAGGTATTGCTAAATTTAAGGTAAAATTTAAAGCTACAAAATATTTCAAGGATATCAAAAACCAGTGACAAAACTCTAGTTAAAAAATGAGGGCTGGGAAGGTGGCTCAGTGGTAGAGCGCTTGCCTTGCATGTCTGAGGCCCTGGGTTTGCTTCCTCAGCACCACGTAAGCAAAAAGAAAAAAACCAGAAGTGGCGCTGTGGCTCAAGTGGTAGAGCGCTAGCCTTGAGCTGAAGAGCTGAGGAACAGCGCCCAGGCCCAGAGTTCAGGCCCCATGACCGGACCGCCCCCCCCCCCCCCCAATAAATAAAAATAAAAAATGAGCTGGGCACTGGTGGTTCATACCTATAATCCTAGGTAGCTGCCCAGGAGGCTGAGATCTGAAGATCACAGTTCAAAGCCAGCCCAGGCAATAAAGTCCATAAGACTCTTACCAATTAACCACCAAAAAGCAGAAAGCAGAGCTGTGGCTCAAGTGGTAGAGCATTAGCCTTGAGCACAGAGAGGCTCAGGGACAGTGCCCAGGCCCCGAGTTCAGGACAGTGCCCAGGCCCTGAGCAAACAAACCAACTAAGGGAAAACAAATGCCAGCAATTCTAGGAAGAAGCGGGAACCCACCTTGTCCAGCATGTCGTACGCTTTGCTGAGAAGCGCGCGCCAGAACTTGGCGGTGAGCTGGTCGGCATTCTTTTCCACGGACTGTGCTACAGTGTTGATGTAGCTGAGCACCGTTTCTAGCAGCCTAAGAACAGAGACACAAACAGCAGCTGATGGCATGAAAGCATACTGTCCCCTGTGTGTGGTGCCCTCAAACAGAAAAGGCAATTATGGTTTCAGGAGTTGTGTGGAAGGAAAGGAGAAATGTCAGCGGTCAGAGGCTGCTGTCGGGGAAGGGCTTTCTCCAGCTCTCAAGTTGGCAGCTGTACTATGCTTTTTTAAGAGCATCTCCTACTCTAGGAAAATGTAAAGTACTCAAGGAAAAAAATAAGATGTATAGACTTCATTTCAAATGGCTCCGAGATAAAACCACTGGCAGAGAGGCTGCAGTGAAGCTGGCAGGTGTGTCGGGGCCGGGGGGGGGGGTTGAGGGGGGTTGCTTCAGCATGTTTACCTGTTTCCAAATAAAAAGTTAAACAAAGTGAACATACCTCTGTTCAAGGCCTTTTAAGATCTGAGGACCCCCGCTTTCAACCACCTGAGTGTGAAAGAATGCTTCATCAGCACATCGTGTGGGAAGCCCAACCCCACACCAATGTCACCTGCACTGCTCTGACTGCTTGAGTCAGACGCCCAGCCCTTCCAGGGCCGCCCCAACTCAACACCTCTTCACTTAAATTACATTCTTTCGTAGTGTCTTAAAACATGACAAAGATTTGGAAAAACAGAGCATATAACCCCCCCTCATTTGTGTACTCTTTAAGTTTTATGAAATGCTGCCTTTGTTAGTTCAAAAGAATTAGACGAGATCCTTCTTTTCAAGTTGTCATTTGTGTCCTTTAATATTTTGGAAGTTTCTCTAGCCTGTTAGTATTTTTTTTTTTTGGGGGGGGGTTCTCATACTTTTCTATTTTCTAATGCTTTTATTTTTACGTTGGTAATGGGGCTTGAACTCAGAGCCATGAACTTTCACTTTTTCTTCTCTACCACTTGAGCTACAGCTCTTTTTCTGGCTTTTCGGTAATTAATTGGAGAGATGAAGTCTCATAAACTTTTCTGCCCACACTTGCCTAGAATAAACAATTCTTAGATCTCAGCTTCCTAGTAGCTAGGATTAGAGGTGTAAATCTAGTTTTGCTAAGCTAAACAGCAGCATTAAACACTGCTGTGCAAGATCAGTCCTACCTGCCTGCCCTCGCTCTTTTTTTTTTTTGTTAGTTGTGAGGCTTGAACTCTGGGCTGAGGCACTGTCCCTGAGCTCTTCAGATCAAGGGGAACGTTCTACCACTGAAGCCACAGTGCCACTTCCAGTTTTCTGGTAGTTTATAGGAGATGAGTCTCACGGACTTTCCTGCCCAGACTGGCTTTGAACTGACACAAACTGGCTTTGAACTATGATCCTCAGATCTTAGCCTCCTGAGTAGCTAGGATTACAGGCATGAGCCAGCTTGTATTGGACTTAATATAAAGCTGGCATCATGACTGGCATTTTCTTGTGCCCAGCATCCTTTAGGTATTGCTTGAGATGTGCTGGAAGTCTGTCCATGTTCACTGATGTGACATGTCATGTGACCAAAGACATTTGGTGGTTATAGTTTTGAGCCACTATGAATAACGCTATTACAGCTGGCTTGTAGATGACCTGTTGTGCACAATCTATGTTGGGTATTTACTGCTAAGAATGAAGTTGCCGGGTCAGAGGGCCTACACTGTCAACCTTGGTAGAACATGACAAAGTATTTTTCATGGTGAAATGAATTTCCATTTTTCCTATCTTTAATGGCATGCCTCCTGTTTTCATGAAACAGTTGATAAGCTATTTTCTTAAGTTTAAAACACAGATCTTTTAGTAAAAACAAGATCACTTTATCATAGATACATTTTAAGGAACACATCACCTTTTTAAGGAAATTATTGGAAGCCAGGAGCTGGGCCATGAAGGACACTGACAGAAACTTGAAATGCCGCAGTTGCTTGCTGGTGTGCGTGTCCACATTGAAGATCTGCAGCACGTCTTCTTTGACTTCAGTTTTAACAGAGCCTGTCTTGTGGGCAGTCTCTGAAACACAGCAACAAACCTCACTCATCCACAACCTGACTCCTCAGCACAACAAGCCTTCAAAAAACACTGCTAATGACGGGCGTCAGTTGCTCACGCCTGTAATCCTAGCTACCCAGGAGACTGAGATCTGAGGATTGCAGTTCAAAGTCAGCCCAGGCAGGAAACTCCAGAGACTCTTATCTCCTATAAGCCACTCAGAAAACTGGAAGTGGGGCTGTGGCTGAAGTGGTAGAGCACTTGCCTTGAGCTGAAGAGCTCAGGGACAGTGCCCAGGCCCAGAGTTCAAGCCTCACAACGGACATAACAAAAACCACAACAACAACAAAAAACCACAACAAAAATACTGCTGAGTGGATTTCTGATAGAAATTTGCTCAGCTGGAGCACTGCTGCAGATCCTACGTACTTTTTCTTTTCTTGTACATGTATTCACTGGTATTTTACTGGGAAGGTGAGAGCCAGCTACCACGGTCTAAACAACTTCCTGTCATTTGAACACAATTCCTCCTGGACACCGTGCGTGATGCTCCACCGTTAACACAAGTGCAAGGCACAAAACATAAAGTAGTGTGTGAGAACTAGTTCTTGTTTGTGTGGGACACAGGGAAAAACACAACAGGGCCCAGTAACTGCAAGTTCTTTTCTCCCTAGCCCTCAGACGGACCATTCCCAGCACCAGACTCATACTTACCTTCTTTTTCCTCTGGTAACTTCACCAAGTACTGAAGGATGTTCATCAAGCTTTGCAGCTGATGCTGGACACCAAATTCACAACACACTGAAATCCAAAATTCAGTATCTGCCTCTAAAACAGCATCCTGTAACACAGAGAAAGGGGAAGATGGCAAAATGAGCCTTTGGATGTACAAATACAAAGCATGCTCATGAGACCCTCAGCCTCAGAATTGGAACACATGTTCCCCCAAGTAGATTGATCAAGGATGCTCTTTGATCAATTTGCTTGGGTGTAATTCTACAATAAACTCTGTGGATGTTATCATGTATGTTTATTTCTAGACCTAACTTCCAAAAGCAATTTTTAAGAATGCCAAAAACATTTTTGAGACAAGGTTCCAGAGGTGCTCTGTAATAATGTACATCAGCCACCACCAGCCTGTGTTTTAATGGGACAACATGAGAAAATCTTCGTGGAGCTTCCTCCCCCAGAGCCCTCTCCCCACCAGGCCCGATGTGCTGACCTTTTCTCCACAGGCAGCAACCAGCACTGTCTTAGTGACGTACTGTTCAAAGAGCAAGGCGAGGAGAACCCACAGGAACTTGTCTGCTCCAAGTGTGTCCACAAGCTGGACCAGGATGGGCAGGCGCCGGTGCTCAGGAACGTGTGGCAGTGCATCCACGAACACGCTGATGATCTTCACCGCGAGCACTTCCACATTCCTTGTGACTTCCGTGGACTCTCCATGGTCAGACTGCAGAAGAGTGGGAACAAACCTCGAGTGAGCAGACAGCGCCTTCAGTGTGCCCAAGGGGACACTGAGTGTGAACTGAGAGGAGCGCCTGGGGCTCTTCATCTCATAAAACCTCCATATGCAGACAGGCACCAATGGTAGGACACGGGTGCGCAGCACAGACACTGAGTCTGCCTGCAGTTCCAGGAAGGACTGAAGCAGGCAGGGCACAGAAGAGACCACGTATTTCCTGCTGCTTCAGAATACAATCGTGTTACTCCAGGAATGGTGCTCAGCGAAAGTGCAAGTGTATTACTGAGTAAATGCTCGCATGAAAAACCCCACGCCCACGTGCCTGGCTCATCCTGCTCCCCAAGAACTGCTTAGTGCGTGCTTCACATGTGCTCAGGCCTGGCCCACACCGGGCCTCTCATCCTGCCACTGACGGCTTACCGCTCCTTTCCTGTCTTTCTGTCCTAAGGGACACTCTTATTCTTTCCTGCTTTCCAGTGTTCCCTACTCCTATGGCACACAGCTTAATGAATACACCTGCTTTTCTTCTCAGGCGTATGTATGCCCTACACTTGCCAACCTGGCAGGCATAAGAAACACCAAATCTGATGTCAAGATTAGAAGGAAAAGGTGTGGGAATGTTTATTCTAAAATGGCCAAGGCCTGGGGAGGCATGCTCATCACGAGCAGTTAAGCACACAGTATAACCACACCCCAACTCTTCCTTCCACCAGAAGAGATGATATCCACATGTCTGAAGACTTTCTTGAATATGCCTTGGTAAATTTTTTTTTTTTTTTTTTTTTTTTTTGTCGGTCATGGGGTTTGAACTCTGGGCTTGGGCGCTGTCCCTGGGCTCTTCAGCTCAAGGCAAGTGCTTTACCACTTAAGCCACAGTGCCACTTCTGGTTTTCTAGTGGTTTATTGGAGGTAAGAGTCTCACGGACTGGGCTGGCCTGGCCTTGAACCACGATCCTCAGATCTCAGCCTCCTGAGTAGCTAGGATTACAGGCGTGAGCCACCGGCCTGGACCTTGGTAACTGTTTTAAAATCAAAGTGTTAAAGCTCATGTGGAATTCTACAACCCATCCACATGATCTGAAGGCACTTCTGTTGTTATGCCTTATAGTGCAGTGTAACTGGATGTGACATATTTATTTGTATGGTTGGAAATGGTAGTATTTGTAAGAACCCTGTTAGTCTCGCTATGCTTGAGCTTGGGAGGCACAAGTATAAAGGCACTTTAGGAGTGCTGAATGTGCCACTAACGTGCGAACTGCAGAAGTGAATAAATAGTAGTAACCTGAGACAGCTTACCTGGATAAGTGCTGGAATGACCATTTTCACTGTCTTGCTAATAACTTGGAAACTGTAAGAATCATCTAAGCGCATAACATTGGCTCCCATGAAAGTAAAAATAGACATGATATTGTGTAGAACTTTATCCTAAAAGAAAGCATATTTCTGGTCTCATTTTCTGTTTCAAATATACCAAATACCAACAATTAATTATTAATCACCAATAAAATGCAGAGTATCTTGCTTTAAAAATGGCAAAAAGCTTGGTTAGCTGAGTGGCAGAAGACAAATTGTGTTCAGTCTCCTACAAAAATAAAATCCATAGAGTGCTCGCCTTGGGACAGGGCCCAAGACCAGAGTTCAAGTCTCACAACTGACTCCCCTCCCCTAAAAAAAAAGTACTAAAACTTCAGGGCTGGGAAGGTGGCTCAGTGGTAGAGCGCTTGCCTTGCATGCATGAGACCCTGGGTTCGATGCCTCAGCACCACATAAGCAAAAAGAAAAAAGCCAGAAGTGGCGCTGTGGCTCAAGTAGTGGTAGAGCACTAGCCTTGAGCTGAAGAGCTGAGGGACAGCGCCCAGGCCTAGAGTTCAGGCCCCATAACCTGACCCAAAATAATAATAATAATAATAATCTGGTTTCTGGTTTCTTTGCAATATTGAGGATGAAACCCAGGATCTTGCAGAAGCCGGGAAGTGCTCTACCACTGAGCTATACCCCCAACCCCACAGCCTCAAAAACTGCTATCAGTATGTGCCAATGTACTTCTAGGCAAGGAAATCTTATATCATTAGCACTTACTGGGAATATTCCAGCAGCAGTACCCAAAAGCAAAAGGGCTTGGTGGTGGGTTTGCGGCATCTCTGAAAGGCGGATGCACTGGACTATCAACTCAACGTTGAACTTCTCCGCATCCAAAATATCTGTGGGTGAGAGTGGAAGGTCAGCGGCAGACACATCCACGCCCAGCGGACAACTTCCACTACCAACATGCACGCACCTTTAGGTATCCTGCCACCGTCCGGTGACAGCTTCTGGCAGATGTTGAGCAGACAACTAAGAATTAATTGCTTGGTGTATTCCATGTTCTCCTGCTCTGGGGACTTGGGCTCTAAACACCTTCAGGATGCACAGAGAAACAATGGCAGAACTGTCACATCCATGAGCACCGTCCAGAGTGCACAGCAGACAGGAATAATTACAACACTCAATACCAATCACTAAACAGAAGTGCAATTCTAAATTAAGTATAGTAGTAAGGACTCCAGATAAGATGTAAGATTTCTAACTTGAGTTTCTCCTCATGTAGACAATTCTCTCTCCTCTTCATGGTCTTTCCCATTATACTATTTGGAATCTTACAGGACAACTTGGAAATTTACTTTGCTTTTTGCATGACAGCATGTTCCATATTCTTCAATTCAGTGACGTACTCTACACATAGCTATCTAAAAAAAAAATTTTGCAGGTATCTCACTGTATCTCTATAGTACAAGGAACACAGCCCAGGGACCTCACTGAAAGGTGAGTGTCCACCAAGCTATTCTTACATCTTTCAACTATGGGACCTTCCTTTATTGTTCAATTATAAATAAGAACATGCTGAAAAAATAAAACGAAGTGGACAACTTATTAAACCCTTATTCTGTCACAGATCCAAGCTGGGTGTTATTACCTTGACAGTAAGTTAAAAAGACTTGGGATGAGTATCTGGGGGCTTTTGAGCTTCTTCTTGTGCTGTAGCAGTTCGAGGATGAGCGTTACTCTCTGCCAGTACAAACCTCCAACTTCCTGGACAGAATCCACATCTTGTGATTTTCTGGACAACAGAGCAGAAAAAAGGCTGAGATGCAAATGCAATCACCGTTATGTGGAAACTGTGGTACCCAATGAATCATGCCACTGTAATGACATCAAGAATCACAATGGAAGCCAGGCACCGGTGGCTCACGCCTGTATTCCTAGCTACTCAGGAGGCTGAGATCTGAGGATCACAGTTCAAAGCCAGCCTGGGCAAGAAAGTCCGTGAGACTCTTATCTCCTATAAACTACCAGAAAACTGGAAGTGGCACTGTGGCTCAAGCGGTAGAGCACTCGCCTTGAGCTGAAGAGCTCAGGGACAGTGCGCTGGCCCAGAGTTTAAGCCCCAAAACTGGGGGGTGGGGGGAGGGGAGCGAGGGCAGGCATGTAGGACTGATCTTACACAGCAGTGTTTAATGCTGCTGTTTATCTTAGCAAAAATAGATTTACACCTCTAATCCTAGCTACTAGGAAGCTGAGATCTAAGGAATGCTTATCCTAGGCAAATGTGGGCAAGAAAGTTCGTGAGACTTCATCTCTCCAATTAATTATCAAAAAGCCAGAAAAAGAGCTGTAGCTCAAGTGGTAGAGAAAAAAGTGAAAGTTCAGGGTTCTGAGTTCAAGCCCCATTACCAACGTAAAAATAAAAGCATTAGAAAATAGAAAAGTAGCCGGGCCCTGGTGGCTCACACCTGTAATCCTAGCTACTCAGGAGGCTGAGATCTGAGGATTGTGATTCAATGCCAGCCTGGGCAGGAAAGTCCTTGAGACTCTTATCTCCAATAAACCACTCAAAAACCAGAAGTGGCGCTGTGGCGCTTGCCTTGAGCTGAAGAGCACAGGGACAGCACCCAAGCCCAGAGTTCAAGCTCCACAACAGACAAAAAGAAAAAAGAATCAAATGGTTCCCGACATCAGAGCCCGGAACAAGCATGCACCAGGCAGTCAGTCACAGCTCTTACTTCTGCTGCATTTTCTGCCGTCTTGTTTGCTGGATGGTGCCCAAGGATTTGGCTTTATCTGATGGCTCCAGCTCTACTCTGATTTGTTCAGAGTTAACGGAAATCTGAAATTTGAAAAAGAATGGCTGATGTTATCAACAGTGACCAAAAGAGACATAACAAAGGCATTTATGTCTCCTCCTGTGTCCTGCCACCACACTAGAACCAGCCAAAGACAAATGCCATTGATAATGTATGTCCTCCAGCTGGCTGGCTACTGAGATGGAAGATGGAGGGATTTTGGCTGACACTTTCCTTCCCAGAACCCCTTAAATGTTCCAAGATAGTCCTTAATTGAATCAGCACTAAGTCATCTCCACAAGACACTCAAAGCCTGTTAAATATGTGTAATCTTTGATTGTAGTTTTCACCAAGATTTCTTTAGAAGTACTAAGACTGAAAACAAACTATCCCATAAGAATTTTCTCAGCTGAGAAGTTGAATGACTTTGGGGGTCTGTGTCTACCCCCAGTCCTACAATTTTGATGCTACTATCTTAAAAAAGACCTCAAGAAAAAATTTCAAAAAAACAAGAAAGAAGAGAGGGGCTTAAACTAAAACCTCCCTAGCACTAGTCAACATTATTTCTAATTTGAGATTCACTTTTAATTGCACACTTGCCTCTCTAGGGTGTCCTGAGTCTAAAGCTGAAGCCCTGCGCTTCTCTGAGCATGATACTGCCCCAGCGCCTGGCCATATTCATCACCACAGTCACTCAGAACTCTCCTCCACACTCACCACTTCCAGGGGCTAAACCAGACTCATACGGTCAATGGGAAAGATAAGGTGTGCACATATGCAGCTCACCCTGAGAGTCACTCTAGATTCGGAATGGGATCGGAAAAGCTCTTTCTTTAGAAAGTTTCACATATCACAACTAAATGCTTGCTTTTTTTTTTTTTTTTTTGCCAATCCTGGGGCTTGAACTCAGGGCCTGGGCACTGTCCCTGAGCGTCTTTTGCTCAAGACTAGTACTCTACCACTTGAACCATAGCACCAATTCCGGCTTTTTCTGTGCATATGGCAGTGAGGCTTCATGCATGCTAGGCAAGCACTCTACCACTAGGCCACATTCCCAGCCAATTCTTGCATTTTGACTCAAAAGAATCTCAAAAAGTATTTTAAGACAGCCATAAAATATGATTGTGGACCAAAGTATTACATGTTAACAGGAATTACTGTTAAATATTTTTCTGGTGTAACAATGGTAGTATAGACATATTAAGAAAATGTCCTTTAAAAAAAAAAGGCATACTGATGTACATAGGAATACTAGTAAATTAATGCTTGAAATTTACCTTAAAATACTTCAGCAAAAAAAATTGATCAAATGGGATGAAATTTTGAAAGCTACTAAAGCCAGAGAGTAGGACTTCACCATGGGTATTTTCATAAATTCAAAAAACAGAATGGCCAGGTGGTATTGTGATATTAGCTAGGTTTCAACCAATGAGCAGCTTCCTGATTTCTCCTTTTATAATAACACAGAGCTGCTTACTAGAGTGATGGTTCCTCACCAGCATGAAGCCTTTCACTCACATAGACCAGGCAGATCACACCAATGTGGGTAAGATCCATATCTTATGGATATGGACCTTGGTATTAAATCTATGATCTGCTTTTCCCTGTCTCTTTAATGGTGACAACTGACCTCTCAAAGGGCACCGCACTAACTGGGAAGAGATAAATTAACAAATGACACCAAGTTTGCAACTCACCCCTTTAAAGACACTGCTCACAGTCTGAGCACAGCAGGTGTTTTTGCAGTTCACCAGGAGGTCAAACAACATGCACAAGAGTTTCTGCTGGACCTTTCCATCTGACACAGCTGCAAAGAATGGCTTTGTAATCTGGAGGATGGAAGAAGACCAAGTGAACTCAACAAGCCTGAGCTCCAAAGATTCGAAATGCAAAACAATAATTGTATTCTCTCACAACATAAAACTGCTCCCCACTTTATTTTGTCATGACAATGCACTTTTTTTTTGGCCAGTCGTGGGGCTTGAACTCTGGGCCTGGGCACTGACCCTCAGCTCTTCAGCTCAAGGCAAGCAATCTACCACTTGAGCCACGGCGCCACTTCCAGTTTTCTGAGTGATTTACTGGAGTCTCATGGACTTTTCTTGCCCAGGCTGGCTTTGAACCACAATCCTTAGATCTCAGCCTCCTGAGTAACTAGGATTACAAGCATGAGCCACTGGCTTCTGGCTTGGACTTTTTTATGACTCATGTTCAGCTTTCTTGTACAATAGGTGAAATGCATCAGGTGCCTTTAAAATGCATCTAGTTCATTAAGAACCTACAGCTAGGTGCTGGTGGCTCACACCTGTAATCCTAGCTACTCAGAAGGCTGCGATCTGAGGAGTGCAGTTTGAAGCCAACCTAGACAGATAACCCAAGACTCTTCAATTAACCACCACCAAAGAGCCTAAAAGTAGAGATGTAGCTTAAGTGGTAAAGTGGCAGCATTGAGTAAAAACGCCAAGCAAGAGCTCAAGGGAGGTCCTGAGTCCAAGCCTCAGTGCACACACACACACACCTTCCATTACAAATCCTTAACTGTCTGAAGGAGCTACACACACACACACACACACACACACACACACACACACACACACACACACACACACACACACACACACACACACACACACACACACACACACACACACACACCTTCCATTACAAATCTGAAGGAGCTGTTATTTCTGAAGAAAGCCACTGACCTTTTCGAGAGCTGTGATCTGAACGGTTGCCATTCCCGGGTGGAGTTCCTTTGTTGTGTGCACAGCTTTTATAAACATATTTAAGCTCTTGGGGTCCTTATGTAAAAGTGAAACTGAGTGTTCATTGTATTTCCCCAGTGCAAGATGCAGGACAGTGACCTCGTCTTTCAGAACGGCTGTGGGGTCCTTCTCTATCTTCTCTAGTAACCGTTCCACCAAGGGCAGCAGCTGGGAAAGCACCATCTACGACAGGGGATTCATTAGTGATTGCACTCAACAATGCTGATTTTTCGCTGACTCTGCAGAGACATCCTATTAGAAGACTAGGGGCTTATCCGGGAGGAAAAGCCCCCTGTGGTGATGCGTGGGCTGGAGGTAGTACAACTCTCATAGTGCTTGCCCCTTCCTGCCCTGGCTCCGAACAGGTCCCCAGGGATACTCAAAGTGCTGAACACTTCAGACAGGACCGAGAGCCTGTGTGAGCCTTCCTCAACACTCAAGAACAGAACTAAAAACCGAGTATGGTTTACCAATTAAGCAACAGTTTACCATTTGCTAAAACACTGTGCTTTTCTCCCTGTTTCCAATTTAGAATGATTAGCATGAATGCAAATTATGTGTGTGCAAATCATGATTTATTTGGAAAATGGACACAAACCAAGAGTTCTTCCAGTAGACTTTTTTTTTTTTTTTTGGGGGGGGGGGGGGGGGAAGGTCTGGTCATGGGGCCTGAACTCTGGGCCTGGGCGCTGTCCCTCAGCTCTTCAGCTCAAGGCTAGCGCTCTACCACTTGAGCCACAGCGCCACTTCCGGCTTTTTTCTTTTTGCTTATGTGGTGCTGAGGAATCGAACCCAGGGCCTCATGCATGCAAGGCAAGCGCTCTACCACTGAGCCACCTTCCCAGCCCTTCCAGTAGATTTTTAAAGCAATTAAAAATCAAGCTGATGATAAGACAGGGTTAGCACACTTCATTTTAAAATATAAGAAGATTCGTATTTCTGGTATCCAGTATCCATTTCTCCACCTCACATTTCCTCCTCCCAAAAGATTAAGACAACCTCAGTGCTGAGAGCACACACGTGACTCCTGTGATTGCCTTCCTCACACATGTGCAGTAACAGTAACTTTTCAGGAACACCACATGGCACAGACAGTCCGCTTAATTACACATACCTCACTGTTGACGTCCTGAATTACTTTCAGCAAATCTTTTGCAACATACGATGGGCATTCATATACAGTGTAAAGCAGGGTTTTCAAAGTTTCCGACAACTTTTGATGAGATTTCTGTTTCTTTACTCTCTGTAGTTCATCAAACAGAGTAGCCAGATCCTAGAATACCAGAAAGAAAACTGTAATGAAGGGCTCATGAAGGGGGAAGGTTCAATGTAGTAGATATAGGACAACGTGATGTCCTTACACCTTTTCATTCTCTATGAAGTTCCAACTGGGAATACTATCAGTTCCCCAAGAACTAGCTTACTAGAAGCTGGCCATGGTATTGCAACCATTAGAAATGGAGCAAAGACAGTTACTGACATCAGTTTCTAAGTTCAGAAGCAATCTGTCAGATTCCCTGTAAAGTAAATGTTCATGTGTTGAGACAGACAGATAGCCAGACTTGTGTAGTTTACCTGAACCACATAGGTGGGATCTGAGGTGATCTCCTCTGCTTTGGGAACCAAGTGGTCTATGAGCAGCTGAAACGGTGCCATCAGTCCACTGAGGGCCTGGAGACACTGAAGGGCAGCCCGCCGCACCTCTTTGATGGGGCTGCTCAGGTTTACAAGTAGAGACACCACCACTGAAACCAAAGGGGAGATACACACCACAATCAATCAAACTTAAGTGGCACCAAAGGCATACCTCCCCAGGAGGAGGGGCAGCTTGGTGGTAAAGTACTTACCTAACTTGTGCAGAGTACTAAGTTTGATCCTTAGAACCGAAAAAAATATTAAAAATGAAACTCCCTTTTTTTTGGTCCATCTTGGGGCTTGAACTCTGGTCCTGAGCGCCTTCAGCTCAAGGCTAGCACTCTACCACTTGAGCTACAATGCCACTTCCAGTTTTCTGAGTGGTTTATTGGAGATAAGAGTCTCATGGAAGCCAAGTGCCAGTGGCTCAGTCCTGTAATCATAGCTACTCAGGAAGCTAAGATTTGAGGATCGCAGTTCAAAGCTGGCCCTGGCAGGAAAAGTCCGTGAGACTCTTATCTTCAATAAACCACCAGAAAATTAGAAGTGGCGCTGTGGCTCAAGTGGTAGAGTGCTTGCCTTGAGCTGAGGGACAGCACTGAGGCCCAGAGTTCAAGCCCCATGACTGACAAAAAAAAAAAGGCTCCTGGACTTTTCCTGCCTGGGCTGGCTTTGAACCTTGATCCTCACATCTCATCCTCCTGAGTAGCTAGAATTACAGGCGTGAGCCACTGGCGCCTGGCTCAAACTAACTTTCTGAAGACTTCGACTACCTAATGATTTGTCATTATGGAAAAATGGTCATCTATTCTCTGGCAGTCTTACACACACACACACACACACACACACACACACACACACACACACACACACACACACACACACACACACACACACACACACACACACACTCCGGTTCACACACTGTCTGCACCAACTGCACTATCTCAAGGGAATGCAGAAGTGTTTTCCAACTGATAATTGTGTTTCCCAATACACGCCACCTTAACAGTATGTTTTTTGTAAATGGAAAATGCTCATTTTGTCTGGGAATGTGGCTCAGTGGTAGAGTGCTTGCCTAGCATGCATGAAGCCTTAAGTTCGATTCCTCAGTACCACATAAACAATAAAAGCCACAAGTGGCGCTGTGGCTCAAATGGTAGAGTGCTAGCCTTGAGCCAAAGGAGTTCAGGGACAGTGCCCAGGTAGAGCTCAAGCCCCAGGACTGGCAGAAAAAAAGAAAAAAAAGAAAGAAACTGCTCATTTCTAAACCAGGATGTCACTGGGAAAGTTTGGGTGGCTGAAGAATGAGGCAGCAGCAGACCCCTCCCCCCACCACGATCCATTCCTGTGCATGTGCACACAAAAGCGTCCGTTTGTGTGTCAGCAACATTGATTCAAGAACATCTCCAGGGGCTGGGAAGGTGGCTCAGTGGTAGAGCGCTTGTCTTGCATGCATGAGGCCCTGGGTTCGATTCCTCAGCACCACATAAGCAAAAAGAAAAAAGCCAGAAGTGGCGCTGTGGCTCAAGTGGTAGAGCGCTAGCCTTGAGCTGAAGAGCTGAGGGACAGCGCCCAGGCCCAGAGTTCAGGCCCCACGACCGGACCCAAAAAAAAAAAAAATATATCTCTAATTCCCTTCACTTTCACAGATTTGGGAACAACAAAAAAAAAGTATAGAATATCTTCCAATTTCCCAGAGGCCACTGCCACTCTGCGATACAGAAGCAGTCATGCTGGTGGGAGGCATTAGCCAGACCCTTTCTCCCACTGACTTTCCACCTTCAGCCCGGTCCTGGCCAGCGGCCAGATTCACCCATCTGTCAGCAGCCAGAAGTCAACACCCTCCCAATACACACTCACCAACTTCATCAGACTGCAAAGCTGGCATGACGCTCTATAAAACAGTAACTAGTTTATGCTGAATGGACCCTTTAGATAATTGAAGATAATACCAACAAATAAATCATACAAACTTGAAATTGTTTTTCAGGTATTTCATTAGAAAGCAATGAACCTGCAGATGCCTTCCCTGACATAGATAAACCCAGGAAGGCTTTCTAAACATACAGTCTGCTGACCACCGAACTGGGTCAGGATCTGGCCTCTGCAGTGACGAGCTGCTGGAGCTCAGAGGGGAACAGCTGCATATGAGAAGTGCACACACTCATTTTCCAATCACTCCACAACCCTGTCTACAGAGAACATCCCCTACCTGGCGAAGAGGTGGAAGCGAGCTGCTGCCTGCAGTGTGTCGTCTGAGCAAAGAGCATTGCGGAGCCTATGTAGAGGGCCTGCGTGTGCAGCGCTGACTTCACCCTGCAGCTCAGGGGATCAGCGAGGCTGGAGGGATAGGTCCACAAAAGAGAGAAGAATTTGAATAACTGGAGGACGTCTCCTAGGTGCACCTGATGAAGAAGAAAGTGGAATGGAGAGCTCACTCCAGCACGATGGTGCCAAGTCCTCTCTTAACTAATGTACAATTATAAAACACTAATAATTCAATGTTACATCTTGCTAATCACTGAAATTTTTTTTTTTTTTGGGTCCGGTCGTGGGGCCTGAACTCTGGGCCTGGGCGCTGTCCCTCAGCTCTTCAGCTCAAGGCTAGCGCTCTATCACTTGAGCCACAGTGCCACTTCCGGCTTTTTTCTTTTTGCTTATGTGGTGCTGAGGAATCGAACCCAGGGCCTCCGGCTTGCAAGGCAAGCACTCTACCACTGAGCCACCTTCCCAGCCCTAATCACTGAAATTTTAAGCAGTTAGGAAGGATGTCAACAAAGGTTGACAGAAAGAAGCCTCACTCTAACCTTGCCTTTCAAACACTGAACAAAAACATGAGAACAGTAAATAAGTAGAAACCAAGAGGAGAGTGGTTCAGAGGCTTCATTAAGAAAGTGCTTCAGGGACTGGGAAGGTGGTTCAGTGGTAGAGTGCTTGCCTTGCATGCATGAGGTCCTGGGTTCGATTCCTCAGCACCACATAAGCAAAAAGAAAAAAAGCCGGAAGTGGCGCTGGGGCTCAAGTGGTAGAGAGCTAGCTTTGAGCTGAAGAGCTGAGGGATAGCGTCCAGGCCCAGAGTTCAGGCCCCATGACCGGACCAAAAAAAAAAAAAAAAAGAAAGTGCTTCACCCGGGCACCGGTGGCTCACGCCTGTAATCCTAGCTATTCAGGAGGCTGAGATCCGAGGATCATGGTTCAAAGCCAGCCCAGGCAAGAAAGTCCGTGAGACTCTTATCTCTATTAAACCACTAGAAAACCGGCAGTGTCGCCTTGGCTCAAGTGGTTAGGTTAGAGTGCTTGCCTTGAGCTGAAGAGTGCAAGGACAGCACCCAAGCCCAAAGTTCAAGCCCCATGACCAAAAAAAAAGAAAGTGCTTCAGCAGGGTGCTGGTGGCTCACGACTGTAATCCTAGTTTCTCCTGAGGAGGCTGAGATCAGAGGACCATGGTTTGAAGCCAGGCAAGAAAGTCCATGAGACTCTCATCTCCTATTCTCCACACAAACAGAAGTAGAGCTGTGGGTCAAAGTAATAAAGTGCTAGCCTTGAGCGAAAGCTCAGGACAGCACCCAGGCCCTCTGTAATATCAGCAACTTGGGAAGTAGAGAAAGGAGGACTGCAGTTCCTGGTCAGCCCAAGGAAAGACAAGAGACTATGTGAAAAAAACTGAAAGCAAAATGACAGGGTGTGAGGCTCGACTGGCTCAGTGTTTACCTCATAAACTCAAGTCCCAGTCCATAGTGTCCAAAAAAAAGCCAAACAGACTGGGCTGTGAAGTCGGGCAAGGAATCTGTGGTTATGCGGAGTGCTGTGGTGTGGAATACAGCGTGCTCAGTGAGGACCACTCCCCTGGCTTCTCGTGACCACACCCCCTCGCATCCCTATAGGAGATGAGCTAGAGTCCTGTTGGAAGGAAGAGGGCACAGGGGGCCGAGTACCTGTATGAAAAGCTTCATCAGCACTCTGAAATGAAGGGCCTCGGTCCCCTGCAGGATGAGCTCAAAGAGCCCCACCAGCAGGTGCAGGTAGTACTTCCCATCCTTGTCCAGCCGCTCAGGGTTCCACCATGTGGCACCTGTGGGACAAGGAGCAATCACGCAGAAACCATCAGCACAACACAGCAACTGCTCACTCAAGACCCCTGAAGACTCATGACTAGCACCTTACCTTTAGGAAAAGATTTAGGCTCCTTCACAGCAAAAATGAAAACTTTCAGGGAAAAGACAAGCAAAACCGAGTCTTCCACAGCAATGCTCTGGGCACTGCCCAGCTGCTCTACATAGTGGGCCCACAGCTCCTCCGGCAAGACTCTGTCTAACATCAGCTCCATGTGCCACTCCGGGGGGATTTCCTGCAACAGTAAAGGAGACCGTTAGAAAGGAAACAATATGCAAAAGGCCCAGAAACAGGGGTCTGCAGGTGGACCCCACCAATGTATTTAAGGTCTTCCGAGTACTAAGCAAACTGTGCTGAGTCAAGACACAGGCTAGCAGAGAGAGGGGTCTGGCTGTCCTGTTCATAATAAAAATCAGATTAGCCAGGTGCTGGTGACTCAAGCCTGTAATCCTAGCTACTCAGGAGGCTGAGATCTGAGGATTGCAGTTCAAGGCCAGCCCCGGCAGGAAAGACCGTGAGACTCCTATCTCCAATAAACCACTAGAAAACTGGAAGTAGCATTGTAGCTCAAGCGGCAGAGCACTTGCCTTGAGCTGAATAGCTAAGGGACAAAACCCAGGCCCAGAGTTCAAGCCCCACGACCCACAAAAAATAAAATAAAATAAAATAAATCACAGATTAAGTTACACACACACACACACACACACACACACACACACACACAATCCCTTTTCCTCTAGAGGCTCCAGAGGATTGTAGTCCATTCTAGCCTGAGCAGAAAAAGTTCACTAGACTACCTTCCCAAAATAATCAGCAAAAAGCAGGGCTGCAGGAGTGGTTGGAGTGAAAGAGCACCTGACTAGCAAGTAGGAGGTCTTAGTTCAAACCCTAGAACTGGCCTCCTCATTAAGCAGAACTAAACAGGCATTTTCCAAAACAGAAATCGAAGGAACTAGATTTCTAAGAGAACTTTAAAAACTATTTCTTTCGGGCTAGGAAGGTGGCTCAGTGGTAAGAGTGCTTGCCTTGCATGCATGAGGCCTGGGTTCGATTCCTCAGCAGCACATAAGCAGAAAAATCCGGAAGTGATACTGTGGCTCAAATGGTAGAGCGCTAACCTTGAGCTGAGGGACAGGGCCCAGGCCCAGAGTTCAGGCCCCACAACCGACCAAAAAAAAAAAAAGGGATTTCTTTCTCTCACTTTATGTTTTTATTGCTGCTCTGAAGGAGCATGATAAATTCACCAAAGAAAAATGATCAAAAGGTAGATTTATAATACAATAGTATTTGGAAGGGTATTAGGTATTTGGTATTTTATTTCCTCAGTTGTGTTTCTACAGCTGTAACAGGGCCTCAGAAAGAAGCGAAAACAAAGCCACACAAAAGAACTATTGTCTGTTTATATAAAACACAAATCCATCCCACTCTAACCATTGAGAACACTTTACTTCAAGACAGTCTTCAACTCGAATTTTCTCATGGCGAACAGAAAACATTTTTCTAGTCTCCCTACTTTAACCTCGCTGTGCTAACACACATCCTTGCTAAAACTTGGGAGGAAGGAAGGAAAGATTGGACATTAAGAAGGACTCACGTAGGCCATTTTTTTAAACTATGAAGACCGCTCTTGGGGTGGCTCAAGTGTTAGAGTACCTGAGTTCAAACCCATGATCTGTCCCCGAAAAACCTTACTCTATTCAAATTTATGTAATTTTAGCTAATAGTTGCTATGGTAAGAATTTATACTACAATAATCTGTTACCTCACGATGGGTGTTAAATACAAATACAGACAACTGAAACATGTCCCTTCCCAATACTGACACACACAATTCTAGGCACAAGAAAGAGATCCCTATCTAATAGCTTACTACTTTAGAGATATATAATATCAAATTTAACCAAATACTAATACAAAATGTTTTGTTCAAGTACTAATTCAGGAAGTAAATGTTCTGTCTCCAGGAGCAGTCAAGTATAACCTGGACAAATTGCCCAATAAAAGAAATAGGTGAGAGTCAACCATTAGTTGGAAAACCTGGCAGCCTCAAAATTCGACAACTGAACTGAACTGTGTACAGACCGAGCACCCCAGCCCAGTCTCCGCTTCCATCCCCCTACCCCACTCCACAGTGGGAAGCCGGCCCAGCCCAGCCTTGGCTTCTGCTTCAGTCCTCTTACCCCACCTGGCACTGGGCAGCAGGCCCCTGCTTAGCCTCTGGCTCTCAGCATGCTAGGGTTCGTGGCCCAGGTAGCACTGCATTCTACCCTATTTCCTTACCACAGCGGTAATGATGCTTTCCAACTTCTTTATCTTCTTCTGCAACAAGCTGAAGACTCTTATTGCAAATGGAAAGTGAGTTTCTTTGAAAAATGAGCAGCAAGAGACTAGCACAGACACAATCACATGAAAGGCCACTTTCTGCTTCACAGTAACTGATTCTTTTTCAGCAGCATTTATTAATTCCTCCACCTTGAAAAACAAACACACTCCATTACTGGTAGCTCCTGACTTTCTTCAGACAACCTCTTCAACCTCAGGCCCACCTGGGTGCTGTGTGCCTCCCACACTGAGTGAGATGACAAGTACAAAGGCTTCAAGGAGATAGCACTGATTTCTCATTATATAAGTATTTTCAGGGCTGGATGGGTGGCTCAACTGATAGAGCACCAGCCTAGCAAGCCCAAGGCTCTGAGTTCAAGTGCTAGTACTAGTGCACATGAAAGTTAAAGTATTTTAGCAAGTTGTAATGTACTTAAATGCACTTGCCAACAGGTTAGTGTATTTAAATCACATACCTACCATATCTAATACCATTTACCACTTATTTACGAAAGAGTGACACTGGTCAAGATGCACTGCACTCAGAAACTGAGATGCTAAATTGGAATGTCTGTACAACTATTTATAGATACTTTTTTAAAAACTTAAAAGTTCCTCTTTTTTTCTTGGTTGTGGGACTTGAACTCGGACTGGGCACTGTCCCTGAGCTTTTTTGCTCTACCACTTTGAGCCACAGCTTCACTTCTGGTGGTTAATTAGAGATAAGACTCTCAGGGACTTTCTTGCCCTGGCTGGCTTCGAACCATGATCTTCAGATCTCAGCCAACCAAGTGGCTAGGATTACAGGTATGAGCCACTGGAACTTGACTCAAATTTCTTTTTTTTTTTTTTTGTCAGTTGAGGGGCTCAAACTCTGGTCTTGGGCGCTATCCCTCAGCTCTTCAGCTCAAGGCTAGTGCTCTACCACTCGAGCCATAGCGCCACTTCCTGCTTTCTGAGTGGTTTACTGGAGATAAAAGTCTCACAGATTTTCCTGCCCAGGTTGACTTTGAACCGTAATCCTCAGATCTCAGCCTCCTGAGTAGCTAGGATTACAGGCATGAGCTAGCGCCCAGCTAAATTTCTCCTTTCTTAGAATACACTTTGCTAGTATAAAAATAACAAAAAAGATGTTCATACTTTACACAAAAGGAAGAAATGAGGATAACACATCAGTCTCACTAGGTCACTAAAGAACCACAATGAAAAAAATATATACTTCAGACATTCTGCAGACTATGCTAAACATTCTAATTGCTTAAAGAAACACACAGTAGCCGGGTACTGGTGGCTCACGCCTGTAATCCTAGCTACTCAGGAGGCTGAAATCTGAGGATCATGGTTCAAAGCCAGCCCGGGCAAGGAAAGTCTGTGAGACTCTTATCTCTAATAAGCCACTAGAAAACCAGAAGTGGAGCTGTGGCTCAAGCAGTAGAGCGCCAAAAAAGAGGCTGGGATTGTGGCTTAGAGGTAGAGTGCTTTCTTAGCACATAAGAAGCCCTGGCTTCAATTCCTCAGTACCACATAAGCAGAAAAAGCTGGAAGTGGTGCTGTGGCTCAAGTGGTAGAGCACTTGCCTTGAGCACAGAGAGGCTCAAGGACAGTACCCAGGCCCTGAGTTCAAGGCCCTGGCTGGGGGTGGAGGGGGGGGGGGGGTAATAGGGATGCAAAAAAACAACTAAGAAAACAGAAGATGATGGTGGTAGAAGCAAAGCTGTGGGGGAGAACAGGCGTGGGGCATGGGGCTCAGAAAACACACCTACCATCTTCAACATCAAGGAACGATCTCCAGAGCTTATATTGCAAGCCAACAACCAAATCAGCTTCTGGTTTGCTACGCCAATCCGTTTTCCTGGCTTTGTGATTTTAATCATATTTTCAAGAGCTGTAAAACATTTTGAATAGAGAAAGGTCTTATATTACTAATGATCAAAAAAGCAACTGTGTAAACTGTAAGGTAGATAAAAATTTCACTATTTCTCTTCAACGGTTTCTAATTTTTCTTTTTATCTAACTCTGATTTTGTGAGTCAGCTTCTTTTTCATGGTATACTTTTTATCTTAGCAAATATTAAGAAAGAATTGTGCTGGTATATAATAAACACAATTTCAAGTAGCAAAGATGGCTCATTTTAAATGTGCCTATCTTTCTTCAAGTCCTATGTTCTTTTTCTCAACAACAACTGAATTTCTTACCTTCTTTCCACCCTTTTAACAGAGGGTGCAGAGAGCAAATTCCTGATTTGGACAAATGTATAGCAATTTTCATCTCAGCAGATGCCAAATCCTCATTCGTAATGACCATGAACGGCAGCAAATGTACAACCACCTGATTTGCGAGCTCCTGGTTTTCACTCAGTATCTCTTTTTTAATCAATATGTCTGCTGCTATCTCAAGTATCTTGTGCCTAAAAAACACATACACATTTGGTTGAGAGACACATTAAAGACTTCGAGGAGCTGGGAAGGTGGCTCAGAGGTAGAGCGCTTGCTTTGCATGCATGAGGCCCTGGGTTCGATTCCTCAGGACCACATAAGAAAAAAGAAAAAAGCCGGAAGTGGTGCTGTGGCTCAAGAGATAGAGTGCTAGCCTTGAGCTGAAGAGCTGAAGGACAGTGCCCAGGCCCAGAGTTCAGGCCCCACGACCGGACCCAAAAAAAAAAGACTTCAATCTGGCAAAAATTCATCATCACACTGTTCTATCTCACTCTCAACCTGAGTTGAGAAGAACAACATAAAGATGAAAATCCATTTAAAATCCAGGCCAATCATAGTCTTTTAGGACAACAGCTTTGTCCTGTCTTTCTTTCTTTTCCTAAGAGCTCATTAGGTTAACTGCAACGTAACACATAGTGTATCTGAACTCTGCTAGTTAAAAGGTTAACTGGCCAATTCTTTTGGATCGAGTCGGTATGACAGATAGTGCTTGCTCTAAGAAGCTTTGTTACTTTTCCTTGCAAAGAAGTGTACAATAGGGCTGGGAAGGTGGCTCAGTGGTAGAGCGCTTGCTTTGCATGCCTGAGGCCCTGGGTTCGATTCCTCAGCACCACATAAGCAAAAAAGAAAAAAGCCGGAAGTGGCCCTGTGGCTCAAGTGGTAGGGTGCTAGTCTTGAGCTGAAGAGCTGAGGGACAGCGCCCAGGCCCAGAGTTCAGGCCCCACGACCGGACCCAAAAAAAAAAGAAGTGTACAATAATGAAACAACCACATCTCCTCAAACACTTCAGAAGGTACCAAGCGCCTCTGCACTTATTGTCTAGCATATCTGTATTTTTTAGCTATAAGTAGTATTATTCCAAGTAGATACACTTTCCCGTGCTACGTCATCAAATTTAGGGTTATATCTTAGATTACATATGTCTGCATTTCATTTTAAAAATTGAAGCTCAGTGCTGGGCACCGGTGGCTCACACTTGTAATCCTAGCTACTCAGGAGGCTGAGATCTGAGGATCACGGTTCAAAGCCAGCCTGGGCAGGAAAGTCCATGAGACTCTTATCTCCAATAAAGCACTAGAAAACCAGAAGTGGCGCTGTGGCTTAAGCGGTAGAGCTCGCCTTGAGCTGAAGAGTGAAAAGACAGCACCCAACCCAAGTTCAAACCCCATGACCAAAAAAAAAAAAAATCCAAGCTCAGAAAATAGCATGAGAACACATGTAAACCCAAATTAATTAGTTTTGGAAAAAGTAAGATAGTACATTCTGTCCTACTGGATCAAATATGACCCAAAGGTCAAAAAACCAAATTATTAATTAAAAAAGAAAAGGAAGAAAGAGAACATGAACTTAACTAGAACGCCACTGAGTCAGAAGAGCATAAGTAGAGAAGAGGAGGAATGTACACATACCAACTGCTGTTCTTTGAGAGTTCTGCTCTTTGAAAGATACTCAGAAGATGGGACACAGTCTCTTCCGCACTGAAGTGTTGTTGAAAAATCTAGAGGGAAAAATTATTCACGAGTATATATTTACTTGCCTCATATTCATATTGTGTTTCTAAATGAATCTGACGGCATTATAAAGAATTTTTCCCACAAGTCCCAGTCAAGTTTATAAGTGGCAGTCATGACCCAATGCTCTACAGACCAGGGTATTTCTTAAAAGCCGTTGCTTATTTTCCTTTTTTGAAGAACTTCATCTATCAAATTGTATAGTTGAATCACTCCTTTGTTTTTCCCCTAACCAATTTGCTCTCAAGGAACAAATTTCCAATAAAATAATTTCTAAACATTCTTGCCTTGAGCAGAGCACATGAGAAGGGCACTCACCTGGAAAACACCCACTGCTGACAATACAACATCTAAATTCTCATCACCAAGGCGGGCCAGGATGGCGTCTTTAATGAAGGATTCATCAATGCCCTCCTGAGCAACAGAAAAACATGTTATTCCAACCACCCAGGCCAGAAAGGTAGTACATTTTGTGAACACTGGCAAAATTCTAGTAAGGAAACATGGACCCTGTCCTGACGGGTCCCTAATAGGCCTAAGACTGATAATGACTTGGTACGAACTTCTGTCAGTTTCCATCGATAATATACAACACGGACAGTTCCAGTACGGTTTTTGAATGAAGAAGTCCATCTTGCTGAAAGAGAACCCAGATACTCAAGTGCACAGGCTGTGCTGTCACCCCAGGCAAGTTCCTGGGCTGTGCTCCGCTGTCAGGCAACACAATGTAAACTCCCATTTCCTTCCTCAAAGGCTAGCAGAGGCCTAGAAACAGTACCAGTGCTCAGCACCAAGTGCTCTATGTGCACACACAGCACCAGCTCTGGCCAGCCAGGCACTGCTCGTGTCTAGTCTGTTACAGGAAAATGCACTGCACAGCCACCAGAAACTATCTATTCTTTTTGAAATTACTGAAGAAACAAAAAGAAAACTAGGTATATACTTGTTCATTACAAGTAGTTAGGATTACAAGTGTAATCCTAACTAGTGCCTGATGTAACTTTCTTATTCTGGAATTCTACTGCTCATCCTGAGGGAGAAAAAAATCCCAATTGACAGATAAATGACACAAACCTTTGATGTTTTCAGGGTATTTTTCAGATGATTAACGGCTAGGAGTCTCACAGGAGCAAGTGGATGACAGAGGCTGAGCATCAGTGATGTGTCAGAATCTGCCAAAATCTGCAGGTTCATATGATTGTCAAATGTCACTTATCATGAGTGGCATATAACTTAAATAAAAGAGAAATCCCCACAGAAAGCCCAACCAAAACCTAAAGGAATTGCTCAGGAGCCACACAAATGAAGACACACTGGAAAAGGGGTAGCTGTATGTATTTGTATGTATACACTCAATAGGGTATGTTGTATTTTTTATAGCTATCTAGTCCCGAGTGAAAAGTTCCTGAGACAAATCACTAAATTAGCACCTTAGTCAAGACAGACTGTAACTCAGTAAATAATACAACAAAGGGACACTCCATTAATAACAATTAGGTTTACTCATTAAACCAGACTAACCAGGGAGTCAACCCATCAACCTAACATTTAGAAGTGCAACACAACAGTAGATGGAAGATCAGTTATGAAGAGAAAACAAAACCAGGCATACTTCTCTTCATGACATCAGCTAATTACAAGAACTTCTGCATGAAGGTCTAACTTCTAGGACACTGACTTAGGGCTGATTCACCAGGAAATTTCAAGTTTGATCATGCTCATTAAGTATTCAAATGGACATTTGGAAGTGTCACGCGTGGCGGAGGCTTCACATGCCTAGAGGCATCACCACCACAGGATATCCCAAACAATGCTTTCCTGAAGTAAGTACTGTGTCCACACTTAGTTCAAACCATTATCTTTCCCTCAACTATTCAATTCCTGTCCCAGAACTTTGTTTCTGGCAACTAGGCAAACTGTAAAGTCTCTCCAGAGGTGAGGAAAAAGGGAAATTCCCCTCTACAGCACTTCTATAACCACACATTTCCTATTTACTGTCTCAGTTCCTGGAGAACAACGTACCTGATACTTCCCTCCACTTGTAGAAAGAGAAATGAATTGGTGAAAAAGCTCCTGTTTCTTCAGACCTGTAATTTCTTTTAGGTGGTCCTCTAATACAGCATCTAATGTTTGTGGGTATCTGGGAGAAAATAAGAGTTCATTCAGTAAGCTTAATAAAGCTATTAACGACACATATACAATGCACTTGTATAATAAAAGACACAAATGATATTGATCAAGCGTGTTATTAAAATGACTCTAAGAATAAAATATGTCTTCCTATAAACTATTATACTCCCCCACAGAATCCATACAACCCCTTACTGCTTCAGATGTATTTAGTTCCTATACTTGTCCCTTACTGAAAAGGACAGTTTCTATTTGAAGTTATAACCTGTGAATCATCTTTAATAGAACAAGAGGCACACATGAACATACACAACTTACTTGCTTTCTAAGAGTCTGATAAGTGGAAGAAATTGTTCATTTAGCAAAGATACTTTATGAGGATCGATTTCTTCCTGTGAACAATATGAAATATACTCTTCAAAAAGAAGACTGCAAAAGAAAGCAGAAATGTCAGGAAATGTGAGTTCCTACTATATTGTAGGTACTTTACAAATACTATTTCTAATTATTATACCACTATGAGGTTGAAATTATACCTTTCCTTTTTTTTTTTTTTTTGGTGTGCTGTTCTGAGGGCTTGAACTCAGGGCCTGGGGGCTTTCTCTGAGCTTTTTTTGCTTATGGCTAGCACTCTACCTCTTGGGTACCTCCTCTCCCCCTTCCCTCCAACCCCCAACCTCCCTTTTTTAGTGGTTACTTGAAGATAAGAGTCTCATGGACTTTCCTCTCTGGGCTGACTTCAAATCTCAATCCTCAGATCTCAGCCTCCTGAGTAGTTAGGATTACAGGTATGAACCACCAGTGCCCGGTTATACCACTTTCTCTACCAAAATTTTGGTATAAAACTTCTTTTAATTTATCCAACTTGCCTGAGGGTCAATTAAACAATGAAAGATAGCCTTTAATGAGCCCTCCATGCCAGAAAAAAGCAGAATAGTGTATTAACCCCATTCTGAGTCCCAAACCTAAACTAAGGTTTCATGCATCACATTTAATCCTCAAACTAACTCCGTGCAAGGGGCATGAACACTGCCCACCACAGGAAGGCCCGTACAACTTTACACGAATGGCAAACGCAGATGAAGGAAGACCAACTGCCAGATCTTACTACTCTACTAAGGAGCAGGCTTCCAACCTATGTCTGACTATAATGTTTGCGTTCAACTCATTGTAGTAAGCTGCCCTTTAACTTGGAAAGGAAAAAATGACACTACAGTAGTATCTTTTCAGAACAGGAAGAATCCTATTTACCTTGTGCCTATCCTCACTGTTAGGGCTCTACTGCCATTTACCGAGTGTAAACTGTGATACAGGCATTAGGGCTGGCAACTGTTTTTACGATAGGGTCTTGTACACTATTCATGTTGATCTTGAACTTCCAACACTATGCAGCCTCAGGCTGGCTTCAAACTCACTATCCTCTCACCACGGCCTCCCAAGTGCTGAAATAATGAGTGCAGCCCCGTAGTGGGCCTATTTATTAACAAAACACTTTAACAGCCACAAATTGTATTGGGTAATACTATAAATTCGGCTGACCTATTATCTTTCATTTTCTTCAGTAAGTTTTAAGAGGGCACAGGAAAAGATTTACTTTTTATGCTGCCACAATTACTATATACCCATATTTAGTGAAATGCTATACATTAAAAAGAGATACTAGAAAACTAATCAACTCTGAAATGTATACTGAGCCACAAAGAATGTTAAAAACAATAGCTTGCTGGGCGCCAGTGACTCATGCCTTTAATCCTAGCTACTCAGGGGCCTAAGAGCTGAGGATTGTGGTTCAAAGCCAGCCAAGGCAGGAAAGTCCCATGAGACTCTTATCTCCAATGAACCACCAGAAAACCAGAAGTTGTACTGTAGTTCAAGTATAAAGCGCTTGCCTTGAGCTGAAGAGCTCAGGGACAGCGCCAGGCTCAGAGTTCAAGCCCCATGACTGACAAAACAACAACAACAAAATAAAACATAAAAAAAAAAAAAAACAATAGCTTACTTAGCCAACAAATGGTCTAAGTTGTTCTTCAGTGGTAGCTTTATAAGTATATCTTCTAAGAGTCTCTTGTAGATCTGACCATCTATCTCTTCAGCTTCTCCTTAATATAAAACAAATTAAACTTGAGCTGGGGGAAACTTTTTTTGTATGCACACACTATTACAATACTTGGAGCAGAATACCTTTTTAGAAACAATGAAAGAACATATACACTGACACTCAGCTTGTTACCTATTTTCAAAGACATATTTTACCCATTTTGTCATTTATAATACTTGAAGCATTGAAAGCATTCTCAAAACATTTTCTCATTCGTATTTTACCTAAAATTCTCTGTATTTTAACAAGTACTATCATAGCATTTATATTAATAATAGAACATTAAATGCAAAAACTACATAGCTGTTCCCTAAGTCACAGCAAAAGCTGGTTGTAAAGTTAAGCCAAGAACCTAGATCCAACTAAACCCTGAGAACATCTCAGGGTCTCCTTATTCAATCAAAGTTGCCATCCTTATTCTAGTTTACTTTTAACATATGACTCGACGTTAGTCAGGCCTTCAGAGCCTGACAACACTTCATGTGTTACCATGGCAATAGAAAGGACACATTTTCTGCCTCCTGAGAGCTAGGATTACAGGCAGGCACCTAGCTAGGTCTGGTATTCCTAAGGAATCTTTTTTTTTTTTTGGTCGGTCATGGGGCTTGAACTCTGGGCTTGAGCGCTGTCCCTCAGCTATTCAGCGCAAGGCTAGCGCTCTACCACTTGAGCTACAGCACCACTTCCAGTTTTCTGGTGGTTTACTGGAAATAAGAGTTTCACAGACTTTCCTGCCCGGGCTGGCTATGAGCCGCAATCCTCAGATGTCAGCTTCCTGAGTAGCTAGGATTATAGGTGTGAGCCACCGGCGCTGGCTGAGGCTCTTTTTTTTTGTCGGTTGTGGGGCTTAACTCTAAGCTTGGACGCTGTCCCTGCTTTCTTCAGTTCAAGGTGAGCACTTTTAACGCTTGAGCCATAGCACCACTTCCCCAGCTTTTTCTACTTATGTGGTGCTAAAGAATCAAACCCAGGGCCTCATGCATGCAAGGCAAGCACTCTACCACTGAGCCACCTTCCCAGTCCAATATACTTTAATTCCACAGTTGTTTTTACTTTTAAATGTAGATTATTTTAGCTAAACAGAATTCAGAGAAATGACTCTGAATAACAGGATCTCCCTTCAACCAATAGGCTTTCCACTCCAAGTATTTTCCAATTAAGACCAACAGACAAGTCAAAATATTGGACAGCAGAAATTTCAAATAATTTCAAGCTAATAGCCAGATGGTGGTCAGGGCCCTGAGTGTACAAAGCACACACCTGTGACATGGTGGATGACCGAGATGACCAGATGGGGAAGCATGTAGCGCAGGAGAGAACTGATGTCATACGTTCCAGAAATGTCCTGAAGCATCATGATAAGGTTGGGAACACTGCACAAGTGAGGGAAAGGCCTGGGGGAAGACAAGCATGTGGTACCCACAAGTTAGACGAGGCGCGAGACTGAACAGTAGCCTGTCGCTTGTCTTCAAGGTAACATCGTTTACTACTTACTTCTGACTAGTTCTACTTTTCAACTCAGTGATACATACTTTTTCCCAAGGCTCTCTGGCTTCTGTCTCTGCAGCAGAATTATCAAGCAACCTAATCCATCTCTGACCAAAGAGGGAACACTGGTCAGTGTTCTGATGAGCTGCGACGCCAGGGAATTAACGAAGGTATCTTCCAGCATCACTTTCACAGAAATCTGACAGATTATCATGTATGTGGCAGCTCTGTAATCTGGTAGAGATGATTTCAACCCCTAGATATTTTTCAAAATACAAGAAAAGTGACAAAGTAAGGAAATTTTCTTCTCCTTCAAATGCTATTTTACTATGACAAATCAGAAATGTCAACATTTACGACAAGGGGCTGGGAAGGTGGCTCAGTGGTAGAGCCACCTTGCATGCCTGAGGCCCTGGGTTTGATTTCTCAGCACCGCATAAGTAAAATGAAAAAAAGCCGGAAGTAGTGCTGTGGCTCAAGTGGTAGAGCGCTAGTCTTGAGCTGAAGAGCTGAGGGACAGTGCTCAGGCTCAGAGTTCAGGCCCCATGACCGGACCCCCCCCCCAAAAAAAAACAAAAAACAAAAAAACATTTACGACAAATGTTTACCCAACTTTAACTGTTCTATGATAATATATGGAAACTGAGACATCAGTGGTACCCCACAAATATGTGCGGAACTGATTTTTGTGTATCAGTTAAAAAATACAATTTCAAAACAGGTTCTATGTTAGGATGAATAAAACTTAATGCAGGTAGAGGGCTTAATGTGGTAGAGGGCTTGCCTAGCATGCATGAAGTCCTGGCTTCCATTCTTTAGTACTACATACACAGAAAAGGCTGGAAGTGGCACTATTGCTCCAGTGGCAGAGTGCTAGCTTTGTGCAAAAGAAGCTCAAAAACAGTGCCCAGGCCCTGAGTTCAAGCCCTAAGACTGGAAAACAAAACAAAACCTATTGTACACTGTCAATAACTCTTTAGAGTTAGAAAACATGTGCTGGCCCCACAGGGATGGACAAGTCTCTTAAACAGAGAGAGGGGTCCCCTGCACTTCTCCACACATCCAACCACAACCACAGCTCTGATTTTCCATGTTAGAAAGTGGCTGACTGAAAACAGCAATCAGTGAAAAGCACAACTTCCATGGAAGGACACTGCACGGGGCAAAAGAGGAAAATGGAGCGGCAGAAGCCTGTGGAAGAACAGGTAATGAGCAGCCCGTGCCAGATGACGCTGCCATGTTCTTCACATCAGAAACGACCACTTGAAACAGATCTGAGAGACAGCATCAGAGGCATGGGGCCGACATCAATTCTTACAGACCAAATTACGGTATGAAAAATGTCCTACTTTTTACTTGAAGATTAAATCTTACTAACCGTTAGAAACAAACTGTCAAATTGAAAAATGTTTATTTGTAAGCAAAATTTTCAAAAGAAAGCAATTCCTTTCGATACAAATTAAACTGCTAGAGACATGAGCAGGACCAACCTTTTGGACATAGGGAAACAGTTTGGCGACTATGTTGTCTGACACGTCCTCCGCAGCCAACAGAGCAGCCACAATGGTGGAGGCATAGAAAGACAGGAGCACACGCAGCTGTGCGGCACTTCCCGGGCGCTCGGCGAAAGCCTGGATGGGGAACAACCAAGACGATGTACAGGCAGCTCTGCAAAACCTCAGACCACACAGCTGTCTGGTACATGAAACCTCAGCTAAAGAAACAATCTTCAATGGTAACCCCTCTATCCATGACCTTGAACGATAATAAAATTTTAAAAAGGAACAATCTCGCTGACTGTCAGGAGTAAACTGCACCTCCAAGAAAGGATGGAATTCCAAACTGCTTGTACACCAAGGCTGCAGATCCCTCACAGAAAGAATCTTGCCAGTGTTCCACTCTCGCTGGGGAAGGCTCTAGTCTGTTCTTCATGCAGTGCAGGCAATCGCACTCAGCAAACCATATGTGACTCACCTTCACAGACTTAGTCACTAGACTACAAATCAAATCCATGAAGCCAAGGTCTTTGTAGCAGTGGGTGACCAAGGTTCCTCGAGCCAGGGGCACTCCAGATTGCTGGTATGGGCACAGAGAACAAGCCGTTAGCAACATTCGTCACTATTCCATTCAGGCATCTACCCTAATGACATCTTCATACTGTGGCTGTTCATCCATATGAATTACAATCTCCCAGCTGGTGGAGGTAACTAGATTAATGCAGAAAAATGGTACCACTCTAGAAAGTCAAGAGAGAAGTTGATGGTGGAGGAATTTATTGAAGAATGCTTATTAGGTGTTCCCTATTCTTTTTTTTTCTTTTGGCTGGTCCTGGGCCTTGAACTCTGGGTCTAGGTTCTGTCTCTGAGTTATTTTCCTCAAGGCTAGCACTCTACCACTTGAGCTACAGTTCTACTTCTGGTTTTCAGTGGTTAATTGCAGATAAGAGAGAGACTCATGGGACTTTCTGGGATGACTTCAAACTATGATTCTCAGATCTTAGCCTCCAGAGTAGATAGAATTACAGGTGTGAGCCACCAGCACTGGGCTTCCTCCATTTTTTTTAACCTCTTCAGTTTCAAAACTTAAAATACTAAACAGCATAGTACTGTGAAAAAACACAGGCTTTAGCATCAGATCAGAATTCATATGCCAGCTCTAAACACGGATCATGTGAACTATCTGGCAAGCACCTTAGCCATCCAAGCTTATCCTCATTTGTAAAGAGTTTTATGAGACCTTAATACAATGCAAAAATGCTTAACTTTACATCAGGCATTAATTAAATGCTAGATGTTACAAATAACAGTAACAACTGGAAGTTAGACAATGAAAGTGATTCAGGTATTATTTGACTAATACCCCTAAGCACTAGGACTTTATTTCTCCCGAATTATATCCCTTAATCAAAAATTGTCATGCTTACATACAGAGGTCCTACAACAATCATACCTTAACTGGAAACAACCAGTACCATTTGTGCTTTGGATTATTAATTTTTAGAAGCTGTATCACCCGTACAAATATTTTTGTCTCGTGGTATGGCAGAACACAGGCAATGAGACTATCTTGATTGTAAAGGTGGATATGGAACCTGGGGGAAAAAAGCAAATAATTCAAATGGACAGGAAACCTATACGCACATGTCCTGACATGTTCAAATTCTGCATGAGATAAAACTACCTAAAAGAACAAACCATCTGGTCAGTCATAACCATAAACAAGGAACATAGCACTAAAGTAAGAGGCCTCCAACTCTGCATCCACGTCTACTCAGTACTGTCTGGCCATTCTGATGCTCCAGAACTTATACTCCATTCTCATTCTTTCCTGGTGATTTCTGTAGTTCTGTTAGCTACCTGTGAATCAACCATTCCAGACACTTCTGCGCTGGCTTCAGCAGGAAGTAGGGGGACAGGTGGATCAGAAATAAGGAAATGTTTTCATCCAGCTGCTTGTTCACGGCTTTGGTCTGGACGCTGCGCTCCAGGGTTTTTGCCAGCTGGCTGAACAGGGGTGCTTCAAACTGCTCAAAGGCGGGATCAATCCCCAGCAGTTCCTCCAGGCCAGTGCAGCCTAGGAAAAGACCACATCAGTCAACACTTCTTTCCCAAATAGACTCATCCTAGTCTCTCACTTTCAGAACTGGGGCTTAAACTGAGGGCCACATGCTCTTGCAGAGCCCTTCCACCCAAGACAGGCACTCTACCACATGTGCCATTGCTGCACCTCTGGCTTTTTTTCTGTTTGTTGTTCTGGAGATAAAAGTCTCACTCCGAAGTGGCACTGTGGCTGTATCGAGCTTGCCTTGAGCTGAAGAGCTGAGGGGCAGCGCCCAGGCTCAGAGTTCAAGCCCTTCGACCAACCAAAACAAAACAACAAAGTCTCACAGGCTTCTCCTGCCCAGGCGGGCTTTGACCTGCGATCCTCAGCTCTCAGCCTCCTGGGTAGCTATGATTACAGGAATGAGCCACCTGCAATGGCTTCCTATTCTGTTTCTACGGCTTTCTTTGCCGGTCACGATGGAGCTCTTAGCATGTGTAACTCGGAAGATTCGACAAAGATTCGTGGTTTTTAACAGACGAAGTCAACCCTACCTCACTAGATCAGAAAGTGCTAGGTGGCAGGAGTCCACTCTGGCCTTTCTCAGCCTTCTCTTCAGTCCTCAGCTACAACGAGGCCCGGCCTCCGGGAAGGCTGGCCAGATGGCCTCCACCCCGCCGGCCTCCCCGCGCGGTCCCGCCGGCCTCCACCCCGCCGCCCCGCCTCCCTGCGCCGTCCCGCCCGGCTCCCCCCTTCCTTTCCTCCAGCTAGCTCATCTCCCGCGTGTGCCGCGGCCGACACACTTGGAGCACCGCGCGCGGTCCGGGGCCCCCTCCTCCGCCCCGGGCCCAGCGCAGCCCACCGCGGGGAGCGGTCCCAGCCGAGTCGGGGCGAGTTACCGATGGCGAAGGCGGTGTCCCGGTCGATGGCGGCCGCTTCCTTGGGGTCGAAGAGCAGAGAGGCGGCTTCCCGTCGGGACAGGAGGCTGGGGTCGGTCTGGGGCAGCGCGAGGCGCCGCAGCTGCTGCGCCAGGGACGTCATGGTCGTCGCCGCGGGGACCTGGGAGCCGGGAGGACGTGGGAGCCGCGGGGTCGAGACCGCGGGGACCTAACCCTCACCACGCCCTCCCGACCAGGGCCGGCCCGACGGCTCGCCTCAGCGCCGCCGGGCCGCCGCTCAGCCCCGACCCGGCTCCTGCCCGCCAAGCCCCAGCACGCCTGGCCCTCCCTCGCGCTGCCGCCCAGCGGATTCCGCAGCCCGTCCGCGGCCCGGGGCTTCTCCTCACCTTCCCTGGAGCACGGGCTTTGGGCGGATCGCTGAGGCTAACCGTTCAAAGGAGCCCCGGCGTGGGGCCGAGGAGTCCAGCGCTCGCCCGGAAACCAGAAGCACATGTCAGAGGAACCTCCGGTTCCGGGCTCTACGGCAAGAGACAAGGTACAGGCTTGTGGGACGCGCGACGCGGAAGCCCCGCCCTCCAGACGGTAGTCACGCCTTCTCAGCGGTAACCACGCCCTTCGGAAGAAACCACGCCCCGACGCCACCTTCTTCCTAGTGGTTGCAACGCCTCCCTTGCTGGGCCCGCTCCAGCCAACGGGTTCTACTGTGGTTTTTCTGCCCGAAGAACCCATGGGCAGGGGGCGGGGCGTCCCGGGCAGGGGGCGGGGCGGAGGCTGGGGCGGGGCGGAGGCTGCAGCTGTGCACGCCAGCATCGCCAACCGAGAAGTGACGTGCTGTGACGGCCAGCGCGGGAGAACACTGTGCAGAAGAAGACGTTTATCCAGGGCTGGAAAGCATCCGGTTCCAAAGAGAGCCGTGTCCCGTGGACTTGGCTGAGTCCTGGTGTTGGAGGCGTGGCAGAGACTTAGATAGTTAATGCTGTCCCTCTATATTTAACCCTTAAAAATCTCACCTTCGTTGCAGCAGAATCAGAATGTTCGTGGGCGGTGAGTGTCACTGCGTGGAGCCCTGCCTGGCACGCTCACTGACTCCCTGAACCGACTCACGAGCGCCGTGTGCCCGCGTTGGCTTTGTGCTCACGAAAGGCGTGTCACGAAAGCTCACGAAAGCGACCGAGAGCCACGTGGAGACGGGAAGAGCAGGATTAGCCTAACGAGAGAGAACGAGTTACTCAGAAACGTCAGGATCTTGTGGACGTTTGGCACACACACATATACACATGTATATGAGTATAGGTATATATACATATATATGACAACGGACGGGTTGCCATCTGAGCCATCAGTGATGTGAGATATGGATCATTAGCAAAGTTTTTGTATTGACATTTCGGCCGAACGCCCACAGACATTTGACAGAATGATTGCGGTCGTCATGAGTCTGGGAATTGGTTTATCTTGTCACTAAAAATGACTGTTGTCTGTTATTTTGAAAGGTGCTCCTGACAACTCGGAGTTGAACAATTTGGAGCTGGAGGAAGCAAGTGCCTGCTACACCGGGAACAACCTACAGGTGCCGCCAAAGCATCTTCTCAATCTTGGAGGTCAGTCCGGATTGGCCCAGGTGTGTGGGTGGGGAAGGTCACATTTTTAAATGCGAAAATTACATGCAATTGTCTGAAGTTACATGCCACGAAATGAAATAAAATGATGGCTTCAGTGTGTCATTTAATATTTAGGAATTTAAAAATGTTTAGTTAGTCTTGCCTAGTGGGAAGCGTTAAGTTCTTCCCCATCATCACCTCATCCAGGGACTATTTGCCAGTGGGGATATTGATTACTGATTAAGGTAATAATGAATACAAGTCTAAAACTTTATGGAAATTTAAACAGATTAAAATAAAGATTCGAGCTTGACACTAATGGCTCATGCCTATAATCCAAACTACTCAGGAAGCTGAGATCCAAGGATTGTGGTTCAAAGCCAGCTGAGGAAAAAAGGTGTATGAGACTCTTATCTCCAATTAACTACTAAAAAAGCTGGAAGTAGAGCTGTGGCTCAAGTGATAGAGCACTAGCCTTGAACACAAATGCTCAAAGACAGTGCCCAGGCCCTGAGTTCAAGCCCAAGGACCAGCACACACACATATACAAAAGTATAATGTATTCATTCTCCCTGCTGCAAAAATTGCTTGTATATAATCAACCTATGAATAAAGCTAATGCACACAAATATAAACTTAATTAGAAAAAAATGTTAAAATAGTAGAATACATTATTTCTTGTTCCTTAATGATTATAGTTAATATAAGGATGCTATTTAAAGTGGTAGTGTTTACTCCTGACAAAGACATACATTAATTCATATTTTCATATATTGCTAATGATACTAGGAAGTTCTGTACCCCTTTCAGAAGCAGGTTGGAAATAGGAATCCAGAACTCAAAACCTGATTAACTTACTAATTGCATGTCTGGAAGCCATTAAGAGCCACCATCCCACAATAGTCTTCTTGTGTGGGATGGGGGATTTAAAAAAATGCAATGTGTAGTTAAGTATATAGTTAATATATTTAAATGTAAAGAAACCTACAACTTGATAATATGATACAAAACAATGTATCCTTGCATATCAAAGATTTCTTTTTTTGGTCTGGGAGGGGGAAGAAAGATAAAAACTTGAACTTAGTATCTGACACTTTGGCTCATAGCTAGAGTTCTATCGACTAAGCCACGCATTCCACCCGCATACCAATGCTTTCTATATTGTTTCCATTCTGAACCAGAAGCCATGGTTTAAACCTTCAGCATAGTTAACATTTTTCCCATAAATAATTCCATAAAAATAACTTGCTGGAGACCGTGTACCAACAGATATGTAAATAGCATGGTGCGCTTGGCTGTTTGGTTGTCTTAGTGCTGTGTCTGTAGAAGGAAAGGAGAGCTTCCTTTGGAGTCAGTGCTCAGTTCTGCGACCAGATTTCCACCCAGAGAACCAATGAGATAAGTGCACCCTCACAGAACTGTAAACCCCTGGGGAAATTTCCACTCTGTAATCTCAGAGGACCCTTACATAAAAAGCATTGTGCATGTAAACAATAAACTAGATGCACAGTTGCAGACAGTCAAGAATTTAAGACTGCTGCTCACACCTGTAATCCCAGCACTCAGGAGGCTGAAACTCCAATAAACCACTCAGACAACCAGAAGTGATGTAGTAGTTCAAGTGGTAGAGCACTAGCCTCGAGCTGAAGAGCAGCACCCAGGCCCAGAGTTCTAGCCCCATGACTGACAAGAAAGAAAGAAAGTGAAATTAAGGCTGTAGGTAGGTTAAAGGTGTGTGTGTGCATGCACACGCACATGCCAGCTATTACGTATTGTATGAAAGGCAAAAAGGGAATCCATCCCATTAAACACTGCAACATTGGGAAATAAAAATTATTTGGATGGTTGAGGACTGGAAGGATGATCAGATACCTTTCAGAAATTAATTCAAGCGAGGAGCTGGTGGTTCACTTTTGTAATCCTAGCTACTCAGGAGGCTGAGATCTGAGAATCACAGTTCAAAACCAGCCGGGGCAGGAAAGTCCGTGAGACTCATCTCTAATCAACTGCCAAAAAACCAGATGGTGCTGTGGCTCAAAGTAGTTGAGCTAGCCTTGAGCAAAAAGAGCTTAGGGGTAGCACCTAGGCCCTCAGTTCAAGCCCCACAACTGACGGGGGTGTTGCGGGGTGGAGGAGCCTGGCTCTCTACTGCTTGAGCCACACCTCTACTTCCAGCTTTTTTTAATAGTTAATTGGCAATAAGACTCTCACAGGCTTTTCTGTCTGGGCTAGCTTTTAACAATGATCCTTAGATAGCTGCCTCTGGAGTTGTTAGAATTACGGCCCATGGCTTGATTGGAATTTTTAAAACTTAAATGATTTATAACTGCAGGAGTGTTTTATGAACTAAACAAAAAGCTAATGGTAACTGAGAAGTTAACATTTGTGGAATGTAGACATTGCCTTAATGCTAGAAGGCTTCTAAGCTTCAACTCCACAGACTTGTAAATCTAAATGGAAGAACTGAGGGCTGATGCCAGCAGCACACATCAATCAAATGACTTTCCCCTGCTAGATTTTCCATTGCTTGATCATAATCTTTCCTTTCCCCTGAAACTAACTGAAAGTTTGATTAGCATTAGTACTTTATCTACATACCCAGAACTTAACCAGAAGGAAGACTTTAGCTAAGATAGCTTTCATCCGGGCACTTATTGCATTATTCATTGAATCCCTGCCAAATGCTGGATTTTTTTATTTAATTTTTTGCTGGTCCTGGGACTTGAACTCTGGGCCTGCGCTCTGTCCATGAGCTTCTTTGACTCAAGGCTAGTGTTCTACCCACTTGAGCCACAGCGCCACTTCTGGCTTTTTCTGAGCCAGCTTAGGCTGGCTTCAGACTGTGATCCTCAGATCTCGGCCTCCTGAATAGCTAGGATTACAGGTGCCTGGCTCAAATGCTGGATTTTGCAAAACCAGATCTTTTGCTTTGAAATACTGAGCTTTTATCTTTGCTTTACGATATGTGATATGGAAGGATTAACTTGTATGTGTGGGTGTGTACGCACACGCATGTGCGCACACACAGTCCTGGTCACTTTCCCTGAGCTTTTTTTTTGTTGTTCAAGACTGGCACACTACCCCTTGAGCCACAGCTCCACTTTTTGGTGGTTAACTGGGAGATAAAGAGTCTCACAGATTTTTCACCTGGGCTGGCTTTGAACCTTAATTCTCAGATCTGTTTTCTGAGTAGCTAGGATTACAGGAGTGAGCTTCTGTCTCAATTTTTTTAGTGCTGTTTTCTCTCTTCTTCTTCTTCTTCTTCTTCTTCTTCTTCTTCTTCTTCTTCTTCTTCTTCTTCTTCTTCTTCTTCTTCTTCTTCTTCTTCTTCTTCTTCTTCTTCTTCTTCTTCTTCTTCTTCTTCTTCTTCTTCTTCTTCTTCTTCTTCTTCTTCTTCTCCTTCTCTTCTTCCTCCTCCTCCTCCTCTTCGCCCCTCTTTCCCCTCCCCCCTCCTCTTTCCCCTCCTTCTTCCTTCTTCTCCTCCTCCTCCTTCTTCTTCTCTTCCTCTTCCTTCTCCTCCTCCTCTTTTTTTTGTTAATATTGCTGAAAATAGCAACTTCTGTGTTTGGGCAACACAGGCAGGGTACCCCACTGCCCACGGAGCTCTGTTTTGGGTGTTCCGACTCCCCAGAATCTCTCAGGCTCGTGCATTGAGCTTTTGCAGAAGGGTGAAGGAGGGCCAAGCAAATTCGGCCATGCCAGCGACCAGGTCTGTCTTCAGGTGAGCACTGGTGTCCTGCGCAGCCATGTGAGTTCCGCCTGGCGACCTTGGCCACGACCCACCCCAGCCATTCACTCTCCAACTTCCGCAGGATTCTGTACCCGCAGCCCACACTGGTGGAGCCTAGGAAAGACGGTGACTGTCGGGTCTGG